AGCCAGTACCTGGCTGACTGGCAGCATGAAAATACAGCAAGGCCATAGGCTGGGGTGTGCCTCCAAAAAAATGAGCTTCAGTGCCAGCAAAGGAAGGACAGGACCTACTTTGAGCTGGGTTTACTTTATAAAATGCTGTTTGGATGAGAGAAGTGAAAAAAGACCCTTTCTGTACATTTCTCCATCATCTCCTTGCTCCCTCCAGCCCATCCCCGCTGTTCAAAGGCATTCTTGCTAACACCATACTCACCCTCTCCTGTGCTCCACTCCTTCTGAAGCCCTGCACCAGTCAGGGCTACCACAGAGTGTGCCATGCCAGGAGGGTGTTGTGCAAGTAGCACCTGTGCTCTGTCTTGCCAAGCTCTGGGCTCAGCCACCATGCCAGCTGCTCCAGCTCCAAATGGCCTGAAGGCAAGGGCAGAAGGGCCCAGCTGTGAAAAGACAGCAGCCCAACCCTGATATTCAGCTACCCAAGGGGGCCATGGATCTGGAGTTGGATGGTGGGCAAGTGCAATGGCACTCAAATGTCATTAGAAATTCAGTATTGAATAAAAAATTCAGTACATCTGATTTCCTGGGTGCACCTAAGGGAAATACCCAGTGGTGCTGCTCTGACACTACAGAGGTTCTGCAGAAAGGAAGCTCGCTCCAAGTCTGAGAGAAAAGCTACTTCACTGAGTGGTGTTTGGGGCTCCCTCATACCCATCCTGCCTCCAACCATGGCCCTATTAAACCTGTCTGCCTTTCTTAATACAACTTGTCAGAAGGAAGGAAGGTTCTGAACTTGTATCAGTGATTCACGGCTAAATTATCCCGGGTCGAGGGTGACCAGAGGCTGAAGAGCATCAACTATCTCCCCAGTGCAGTTTGGGTACACATCCCTTCCCACAGGAGCTGGACCCCCGAGACCTGGAACTACTCCATAGGGCTTTTGTGCAGCATTCAGGGAGGACTCAACGGCCACCGCTGGCTTTGGGCTCTGCTCACTCAAGTACCGATCACCCCGGGCTGCCCAGTCCCATGGGCGACAGTCAGCCTAGACCCCGCAGAACGCTGACAGAAGCTGCCCGAGGTGAATCGGCACACTTGCCCGGCCAGCTGCTGGCCCCGGCCCGCTCGGCGTCCCCGGCCCCGGCCCCGGCCCGCAGCCCGGCCGAGAGGCCGCCGCGCTCCTCGGGCGCCCCCGCGCGGCCCGGCCGGGCCCTGCCGCACACCCGGGCCCGGCGGCAGCCCCGCTGGCCCTTGGTGCCCCATGGCGTGCCGCTGTCGTCACGGGCTGGGCAGAATCGCCAGGAGACTCGATGGGTCCCTTCCTCCTCTCGACGCCACAACTGGTGGGCAGGAGAGACATGAAGGCAGGAGCCAGGCCTTGGGCACCACGAGCTAGGGAATACGCTCCAAGAAAGGGGAGGCGTCATAGCAGGGGCTCCATGAGGCAGAGCAGATGAGCGTAGGGGTGAGGGAATAGAGCTGCCACGAGAAGCCTGGGCAAAGTAACTAGGAGCCACCCGACCCAGACAAAAGAACCACCTTGCTAGGGGTCAAGGAGCTACAGCTTTCCAGTGAGAGGCTTTAGGACCAGTTCCTGCTCAAAAATGTTCACTCCTAAAATACAGTGTCAGCCTTCAGTGTCTCAGAATTTGCTGCCAAGAAATCCATTGAAGAACTGCTCTCACCTCACCCAAAACACCTGGGCTGTTTTACCCATCAGCTTTAGCACACACCTTCAGGCCCTACCTCCATGCAGCTCCCACAGCTGGCATGCCTCAAAACAGATCCAGTGCAGTAACCACATTGTCCCCATCCCACACTGCAGCACTTTACTGAACCCACACAGGATTTGCTTGTACCACGAGAAGCCCCCTATTCTGAGACAGACACATTCTATATGTGTTGGTCAGCAGCTGTCCACCCTAGAGGGCAAGAAAGTGCTACTACTTGCCAAACAACAAAACAAAGAGCAGTGACCAAGTCCTTCAAGTTTGGGTGACCTAATGTCAATCTGTTACTTAGTTTTATCTCCATACAAAGTTCCATGTAATCAAATTACCCACTCCCAGCATCCCCAAGCCAAAGTTGGACGAGTTTCTAAAGTCCTTGAAAATACTGGAAACAAAATATAAAGTACAAGAAAGGAAATCTTAAGAATAGGGGAAACAGTACAATATCAAAGTACATAAAAAGTAAATTTCTTATAGAGAAAAGGAAAAAAAAATTAAGAGGCTCCCAGTGAGCCAGCTTCTTCAAGAAGAGATCCAGATAGTCCTGCAGCACTCATTCATAGATTTATGACCCAAGAAAAGAAACCTTTCCTTTATCCATGCCAGTCTCCAGGCCAGCAGGTTAGATGACTTTGGTGGAGTGCTCTTCAGCAGCACTTTGCATCCTGTGGGCTGGCAGCTGTCCTTGGATGCAGCCCCCGGAGGATGTTGACAGAATCTCTCTACCTCCTTGGGAGTTCACATGCTTGGTTTTCTTGACTAACAACTCGGAGCAGCTTAACTTGTCTCTTCAGTCAGATTCAGACCCCTTGAGTGTCCTGCTGACTCCAGCCCGCTCAGCTCTGTTCTTAATATCTGACAAAGGCACTTTGGCATTGTGCTAGTGAGAAGAGCAAGGAGGAACAGGAATTATTCCAGTGACTGCAGTGCCTCTGGGTTTGTCATCACAAGATGAGCTCATATGGATTAGTCTGGCAGCAAATTAATTTCTACAACCCATCGTAAATGGAAGATACAGTCCTCCTTGGACACAAAAACAGCTACACAGTTACCTTTTTTCTAGCCATACTTTATTGCAGTTGTATATATAATTATTTATGTTTTATTTTAAACAAGAAAATCCTTTCATGGAAAGGAGAAACTTTTACCATTAAAATAGAGTGATCATAACACGAGTATTTTACAAATATGTACAAATATTGGCAGCTAGTTTCTAACATCAGCTGATAAATGCTTACATGCTAATGTCTACCAAACTATCAAACTCAAAAATAAGAGATCTTCTAAATCCAAACAAAAAAAATAAATGTATTACTAGCAGAAATAGGTGTTTGTTGTTTTTTTTTTTTTTTTTTTTAAATACGAATACAAAAGTTGCATAATAGATATTCACAGTGCTTGTAAGCTACTGATTCATTCTCAGTCTATACACAAAGTGTCTGGTCTCCCCTTCATATGCATATGTCACTTACAGTACTGGAGGGAGCTGCACAGATGACAGAGAGAAGATGGTAAGACCTGTAGAATTTGCCTTCCCTACCAGCTATGAATAAATACAAGAACTCCTCAGGAATGTACAAGGCAGTGGATTAAATGCAAGAGTCAGTTATGCTGTTTTCAGTCATTGGTGCATTTTGTAACCAGCAGCAGCAGCAGGATTACAGCACTGCCAAATCCTCTGGATGCCTGCTAACTGCAAAACCAGAACTGTGAGCTGCCTGGTGGCAATAAACACTTCTGTGATGTGGTTAGGCTGAAGCAGATAAGGATGTGATTGTCTTTGAGAGAAGTGTGCACATGGTGCACATGCATTTTATGACCCTTTTCCAAACAACTACACCCACTGAATTTTGACCTTTTTTTCCTGTTAACAACCATTCCCAGAACCACAAGTAACTGTGCATCTGCATGGGTAGGAGAGCAACAGGTTAGTGATGGCCTCACTCCAGACCTCCCCCTCACATTTTTTATGGACAGGCACTGTAGCAGTAAGAGCCATCCCTCCAGCTCCGTGGTGCCTGCAAGAGCAAGGCTCCTGCATTGCTGCAAGGCTGTTTCCTTTTGTATAGCCACTGGCCTTCCTGGATCCCGGCCATGTCCATCTCCCGTGGCTTATGGCCAACCAGGACCCAGGTATCAGGGAGTGACTGACAGAGGGAGGCTTGACTGGACTGTTTAAGAGCAGCCAACCAGATTTCCTTTACCCATTTATTTCCATTTAGAAGAATTTGTTTTGGATGCAGTAAACATACCTCGAATACTTTGCAAAGGCATTTTGGCTTTGTTTGGAACAAAGGATAAGAGGCTACAGTGAACACACACCTCCTATTTGGTCATTACAACAAGAAAGAACAGTGTGATCAAAGAGGGAACAGTCCATTAAGTCATGGCTACAATGCACGCAGCTTGGGTCTGTCTCTACATGGCATTCACACAGAAGTAGCAAGACAAGGGACTTCAAGGATTTGCTACTTTAATGACTTATGGGAATGCAATTTACCAGACAACTACTGAGCTTGTGTGCCCACCATCAAAGCAGAAGCTCAAACCTCCCTTGTCATAGTCTGGCTTCCTTCCTTTCCTGAATTAGGCTATCTTCAGCTTTTGATGATCAACACTGCACAACACACACTTCCCCAGCCATTATTTCTTTCCTTCTAGAGTTTGCTAGAACACACCTAGATGGCTGTCAAAAGCTGGGCACAAAGCTGGGCCTTCAAGTACAAGCTTCCCAATGCTGGGAATTGATGAGGGGAGGAAACCAAACACATTTATTTGCATGTAACAAGGTAGCAGGATGTTTTCAACACCAAATGCTTGAATCAAACAGCATAATTATGATTATTTCCCTAGTGAGAGCCAGCACAGCCAGATCCACCACTCTCAAGATCACCAAAACAAGTACCCTCGGTCTGGCACACAAACACCCTACACCTGTACCATCATCAACCCTGCAGCACCACACACACATATTTGCATGACCTATCCATGACTAAGTAGGACACACTCACTCTGTCTGTCCTTGCAAAGTGACTTTCTCCAGTCCTTACTTGCCTTCTATACAGAGGGAAAAAATCTAAGGAACAGATTTATTAAAAACAAATAAAAGAACAGCATTAAAGTATGAATCAAAGTAAGGGGTGATCATGCCTGGACAAATTCTCCAGTCACACTCCTCTCTTCAAAAGCCTGTCAATTAATGCTCTTGCCCTTTGTACTCTCAGAAGCAGCCAAGTAATTTGCTTTACTTCCTTCCTATCTCCAAGGATATAATGCCAATCTGCATCACAGCAGTAGTAGACAGTCAGTTCCATTTGTTGCAATAAAGAAAAAAAAAAAAAAAGAGACCACATATTGTATTTGGCTGGATGCTTACAACAAAATAGCAACAACAAAAGAAGAAGAAACTCCTGGCAGAGCAGGTCTTGCTCCCAGCGCAGTGAATAAGCAACTTGTGTTCATTCAACTGAAACAGGCCAGACACTTCCATACACAGCCCTCCAATGTGCTAAGGGTATATCCTGGCCTGACAGCTGTTAGCAATGTTGCAGCAGCACAAACTGAAGACAAACTGTCTGTACACTAAAATTAAGAAACACGGACCACAAGAGAAAGGCAAGAACATGACAAACTTTAGATTTCTGATTAATCCATTTAGAGAAAGTTTGCTTTACTAGCTCAGTGTCAGTTTTGGTCCACTGTTTTTTGGTTTTTGTGCTGGTTGTGTCCCTGACAAGGGTGCAGATTACTTCCACTTTCTGCTCAGACAGACACTACCAATGCCAGTGTTAAGTGCTACACTCCAGCTGATTTGCCCTGTAGCCAGGACTGCAGAAGCGATGCCACTTGCTGATACAGAACTGAATAACGAAGCCGCTCACCATCTCCTGCAAGAGAGATGTTAATGAGGTATATATTGCCATGATGAGCTGTTTCGTGGTATGGAAGGGCTCCAATCTCATTACACCACAAACTCCTCTGGGAGCTGGTCCTCTCCCAGAAGATCCAAGGAGAGGCAGTTCATGGATCGCTTCCCGTAAAGGGCAGACTTGGTTTTGCAGTCTGCTGTGGAATACACACAGCCATAGAGAGACAGCTTATCCTCAAGGCTGCAGCCGAAGGTGTAGCTGTGGGACGTGTCTGAAGACAGCGTGGCACTTAGTGATGGGTGCCGGCGCTTGTACAAACGGATGTCATCCAAACTCTGGCTGTGCTGGTCCATGCAGCTCCGGCTTTTGGGCGATCTGACCTGCCAGTTCAGCAAGACACACATGAATAAAAACAATGAGCTCAGACACAGCCTAAGGATGCTGGCTATGCATGCTAAAAGTTTCTCAAAATTGTTCTTCCCCACTTTCAAAAGAGCTCCACCAGCCTTCTGAAGGATGTTGGCTTAAAGAAGGAGCTGTGAACAATTCAGAAATTACAAGTGCATTAAACTGCCATGCCATGTTGAGCTGGATCCCGATCTGTGTGCCCTGTGTCCTCAAGTGTCCAATACAATGGATGAAACACTTGATAGATACTGACACCCAAATGACCTCACACTTCTTGGCAGACCCAAGCAGTTGTCCTCAAGTGGACAAAGTGCACTTAACAAAAAACTACCCCAAGTGCTTGAATACATTAAGTTTAACGAGCTGAAAGGAAGGTTCAGAAGGCAACCATGCAAACTAATGGGATACAGTGTCCAGTAATTGCCACAAACAGTTTCATCTACATAACACTGTTCCATAAAGAATAGCAACAAATCAGCAGTAATTCCCAGAGGCACCATCTTGCTACACAAGCCTCCGTGAAAGAGTTATTGACCATTTGAGAGTATTTCCAGCTTCAACACTTGTATTTTTTCCTCACTCTGCCTCTTTAATAATCACCTGTTAAATGCTTATATTGAGGCTAATTTGAAGAATATAATTTTGAAACCAAGACACTTCTACTTGCACCACAGAAAACTTACTCCCAGTATAATTTCTCTCACTGCCATGGGAGGAGAATTAAAAAACTACCCTGAGGAAATCCTGTGCTGGCTCAGCTGTACTCCCAGAAACAGGAATATGTTGCACTGGCTCATCAACGCTAAGGAAACCCTGCAGCATTAGTTACAGGGCCTTGTAAGGAACATTTTCATAGTTTTCTAAGGAGCCACCACTTGGTGATGTGATGCACTAAAGTGGCAGCCAGGTCTCTGCAATCATATACAGTCCTCTGTTGAGCAGAACCATTTTTATAAAACAGATGCCCCATGATCATTTAACAGCGTATGCATGGTAACAGCAGTAACTTTAAAAACATTACAGCTTTAAGCAAGATGCCCACTTTCAGCCATGAGCTCTTAAGTCTTCCACTCAAACATTATGATTTGTACTGTATGGTCTTTAGCTTTGGAAAAAATAACCAAGATTTTGTTCAAATCCCCTAGAGCACTTTATGGGCTATTTTGCCGATAAATGAAAATTTCTTATGATTTTTGAGTGGGTCCAGAAAGAAACATGGAAAATTAAAAACAAAGTCTTAAGAAGTGATTGGAATCCCTGTTAAGAGTTTTAGAATTCTCTCAGCAGATAAGGTAATTTTGGATTAAGAGAGGGAAGAAAGGGTAGTGGTGCTTTTTTTTTGGTTTTTGTTTTGTTTGGTTGGGTTTTTTTAAAAAAACACATTTCTACCCCAGTGGGTACAGCTACACTTTGAAATGAAGTCCTAAAAAGACATTTTAATAAGCTTCTTCCAAATATATCTTCTTCTGTGACGTACTTTACCATATATAGTTTTCCTTTCTCAAGTGTTTGGTGAAAAGAAAACCTTGACAACAAAGACTTCAGTACACACAGATTATAATCACACAAATGATATAACAATTAGATCTTGAGCATCTGGTTTTGCTCTGATGTAAGCTACTTCTGGTTTCAAGATGATCAAGTTTGCAACTCACATCCAAACTGCATAGATGGTCTTTGCTCTGTATTGCACTGAAAATTTTGAAGTGGTTGATTTTCCATGTGTCATCCAGAACACTAAGGTAGATAATAATTGGCTTGCAAGATCTCCCTGCTGATTGCTCCAAACCTTTCTATACTATTCTGAGCCAAAATGTTGCTCTTATCCTATTCCTGAGAGCAGTAGCTGACCAGCAGCTGGTTTTGATTATGTAAGAATGTAAAAATCAGTCAAATCCAAACTAATCCAGGTGTCCTGATTTACAGCTGCCTCCATTACACTAGACCTTGGTTCAATGCCCACACACAGACCCTCCTGCTGAGCAACCTTTCCCTTACCTGGTGAAGGGATTCCACACTTTGGCCTCTCATTTTGATTAGTGTGACTTGCACCACGGATAGAGATTCCTGATTTATAGCTGCAAAGGAGAAGCAGGAAGTAAAAAGCAGTGCAAGTTTGAGGTTTTCTGGGCAATAGAAAAGGGAAGTTGTTCTCACAGGCCACATTGAAACAGTACTATCTCTTAAGACAAATATAAATCATTAAGCACCCTCAATGCTCCAGGAGTTTTGCTCAAAAGCACTCTTTTTTGGCCCTAAAGATGAACATTTGAAAACTTTCAAGGAAACAGTTTCTTGCCAACTTGTCCCATTTTCACCCTTCTTGCTTTCCTATAAAGGCTGTATATATTAAGGCCAGACAACTCCTGCATAGCTCTGCTGCCTGGCTGTTCCTGTATCACAAGCCACAAAACTTTACCTAATAATTCCTGCGACCATCCCATTATTCTGTGGTTGAGCCCCTTGGCTGTTTTGTGGCATACAAGATATTAAAGCATATTCCTTCCCTACAAAAGGTTCACCTCAATTATCTTTTTGTCATTAACTGAATATAAGCTTGGCACTTTAGAGAAGGGAGACTTTGAGGACCACAGAGGAGAGCAGCACTGTACATACAATACAGAATGCTGGCCTGTAAACTCTAAATGAGCTGCCTGCAAATCCTGTTGCAGTAGGGCAGTAAATAGCACAGGCAGCTGTTTAGAAGGAGATGAGAGGTTTTGTAGAACGCACAGATTACGCCTGTTGCTAGAGCCTTAAAGAACAGCATTAAGCAGCAGCAGAAAGCCATCTCACCTTGGCAGCTAGCAGCATCTAGAGGCAGGGATTCAACAGATTCTCCCACAGTGGCCTCCTCTAACTGGTCTCCCTCTAAAGGCTCATCTACAGGCATCTCCTCTGGCTCATCTACTGCCAGCTCAAGCTCTAGGAGGAAGAGAACAGGAGGAGAATGGTTAGCATTACACTTGGGCTCCAAGCTGCTGTACAGTCTCTTACTTCCTGCCCTCCTGCAGGAGAAGACAAAAGTTGGCTTAGAAGTTGCTCCACATGTCAAAATTCTTTACCATCATCCTGAGTGTCATCTTCAGCCTGCCCTTTGCTGCCACTGTCAATGCCAGAGCTACCGTAGCTGATGGTTGAGCTGCAGGATTTCTTTTTCCTATGCATGTGGTCAGTGCTGAAGGGCTCATCCACAGACATTTCCACAGACACGCGGTGCCTGGAGTCAGCCTCAATGCCCGAGGTGTGGGAGCTGCCATGACTCCCAGTGGACTGGCGCGAGAGGCGGTTATCCCTGCGGCTGCCACCACTGCTCCCGCTGCCATGGGAGTTCTTGTCACATGGGTCCAGGTCCATGTCTAGAGTGTCGCTGATATAGGACTCCCGGTAGCGCTTCTTCTCTGAGGGAGAAACTAGTCAGAACTTTAAGGAAGGGTAACAAAATATATTCAGGAAGTTCTGTTGGCATCAGCCAACAACTAAGAAACAACTGCAGCAGCTACTGAACAAATACAGGGACAGCTTTGTATTTTGTTTGTTCAACAAATGGATGCTCATGTAGTTGCAAAAGAATTACTCATACTTGCAGTACAATCAGCATCTCCTAAATTAGAACAGGCAGGTAGAGGTAGTTATGATACAGAAAACAGTAGGTTTCCGAGTCAAGGTCAATAACAGCAAAGTAAAAAAAAAAGCAAACAAAAAAAAGGAATTACTTAGTGAAATTTGGTGCTCAGTCTTTAAAATCAGATGCACTGATTGGTTCTTGAAATACCCACCACTACATGAAGTCAACTAAGAACAAGATTCCTGTGGCTGGCATTTAGTAATGATTTATTATTTCTCCCATGGCTTGTATGTGCTGAGGGTGGTTGAGAAATCCATGTAACAGACACAAAACAACCGAGGGCTTTTTGCCCACATGCACTTGATCAGTGAGCCTTTCTACAGGTGACTGGCACGTGCCACTGGCCGCACCCACACAGCTCAAGGCCACTGCTGTAACCCCACTGAAGGGAAAGACAGAAACCACTTAAGAGAAGATATCCCTCTACTGCTCTCACACAAACACACTTTGCAATCACAGTCAACAATGTGGGAGCCACAAATATTTCTTAGGAATGGACTTGAAACGTACCTAACACCTCTGCTTCTAACACTGGCTCCCTGATAAGGCAGAAACACCATTAATTAGATGAGAGTAGGCACCATGAAACAACAGAAGAGACTAACGCACTGTACTCTTCCTCTTACTAAACTCACTTGGGTGTTCCCTAACATACCTTCAGCCTCCTCCAGTTTTTGGATCTGCTTCAAAACTGGCTGAATATTCAGAAAGAGCCGGTGGCTGTTGCTGAGTAGCTGCAGCAAATGGCGTGACCTGAAGGGGCAACCCGTGTAGTAAACCAGTTTCCGTGCAGAGGGCAAACCATCTGGCTGGATTTCAAATTTTTTCCCCTGCACAAAGAGGAAAGATGTGAAAGAAATGAGCAAGAGTGCATTTTCAGCCACACAGCTACCAGAGATAGTAGTGGTCTCATGCGTGCAAGTGACAGGACTTGATGCAGCACAGGCAGGCCGACAGCTTTGCCACATCCCAGGTTGGCAGCCACTGGCAGATGGCTTCCATTCCATCATACTCACCAGAAAGGCCAGCTTCCCGATGTGTGACCAGGGAAAGTCGTAGAGGAGCTGGCGAACGTGATTCACCTCCTGCAACACATCAAACTCAGAGTGACACAGGGACTGGCAGGTACAGGGTGGAATCAGTGATGTGCAAAGAATTTGCAAACAACCAAGAATTTGAGACATGCGGAGCCCAGGGTTTGCAGGGGAGGCAGAGGAGCCGCGGTGAGGGGGGAGGACAGGGAACTGGGCAGAGTTACTGCTAAACCAGAAGGCTTTCACAGCAGTCTGTTACCTGATAGATGTGCATTCCTCTCAGGGTCAGGCCCAGGATAACTGTCGGTCGATCCTCCTTCTTATCCTAAAAGAACAGAAGAGTCAAAGGTTAATCTACAAAGGCCATGCTCTTGTTCTGGCACCTACTGCAGGAGAGGTAGCAGGACTCCTCATCACACAGATGCCATCAGCTCATTTGGTTTTTATTATGTTTGTAAAGTGCACCTGGCCTTGTTGACCCCTGAAATACCTACACCTAAAATCCTCTCATGCTGGGAGGCTCAGGCATTTCACCAGCATATGTCCTAGCTGCCCTGGACAGGGAATCCTGTAGCTTTAGTGATTTGAGAATATGGACAATTACTGTTCTCAGAGGTACCTTGTAACCTCTCTTGTTACCACATGCTGTCTCTGCTGTCCCCATGAGCATGCACCACTCTTGCTCTCCAGGTGACAGAGGGCCCAAAACAGAAGGGGAACTCATTCCCCTCTCCTTGCCCTCCCACTCTCTACTATTCCCATCCAGGTATTTGCTAAATCTTAGGTAGCGTTTGGCTGGGGTGGGAGCTAATCACGCCCAGTTATTGGGACTTTCATTCTAACATTCAATATTGGTGTTGAGAGTAGGTGGTTTTACATGAGTTTTAGTACCTGGGTTGAAACACTGTGTTTTAACTCCTGCTGCATCTTGGTATGACATACTTGGTCTCTATTCATATTCTTTTGCTTGAAGACCAAAAATATCATAAGCTAATTCTTTCAGCCTCTCCTAACACAACAGAGTTAGGGAGGGGAACATATGCATTTTTTTTTGTTAGGAGGAAAAGCAGAAAGAAAATCTGGAGGTAAAAATGTATGGGCTCACAAAGCTCAAACTTTATGTCACAACTCATCTTTATTTACATCTCTCCTCATCTGGCTTACAAGATACAAGCCTTATGCCATCACATTACCCCACCCTTTGTCCCTGGTACCATCCCTGTCTTCAGCTCAAAGTAAGAAATATTAAGAAATAATAAGAAATATTTTCTGCCTCCTAAGGACAAAGAGCTTTGTAATTCAGTATTGGTCTGAATGAGAGACAGGGGGTGTGTTGTATTTTCCTTAGCTCCCAACCTCAGCAGAAGCCATGAGGACAGTGTTAAGACACAAGTGCCTGCTTTTGAAATCTCAGGGCAACCAGCCCACCAACACCTTCACCAACTCCTCTGCACTTGCTCAGGTGATCTGTGACCCAAGCATCACCTAGGAGAAGCATCTCTCACCACAAAATGAGACAACTGTGTCACACGGCAGAAATAAGACTCTATTAAGGATCAAACAACACATGGAAGAGTACATGATGCCTAAATTCAAGTCGACCAGGAATTTAAATATTAAGAGCAACCAATTCCACAGCCTTGGTGTTTTTGGATATAAAATGTATCATGTCCTGCCAGCTGGATTTCTTATGGCATTCAAGTGTAACTAACTCTCTCATGACTGCATCACTAACAGCATTAAGAATCAAAACAGAGAACAGAAGAGAAGGTAGGTGAACATTTTTGATTTGCAAGCAACTAAGCCTGGACTACTGATCAAAACTTATTTTGTCTAGAGAATGCACGTTTCTTCAGTAACTAGAGCTGTTAGATATGTTCGAAGGACATGTATACTTCCCAGACATAATTCCCACTGAGCACAAAACCCCAAAAAGTTTAATTATGAGTCTGACAAGGAATGTATCTCCATTTGAAAAAAAAGCCCAAGCCATTCCTAATTGCATAGGCAGGTTTCACTCACCTAAGTGGAACAGAAAACTTCTCATTAGTCCCATTTCTAGATCTAAACACTTAGCATGTGAAAATGAAGCACCGCTTCTGTTTAAGCAGGTTTGGGTAAGGAGTCTAACAAGCAACGATGTAGGAATCCAAAACTACCAAGAAAAGCATACAGCTGAAAAAACGCCAACCACTCTGGCAGGGTTGGAGAAGCAATGGGATTTGAAAGTTGGAATGACTCAGTGTCACCTTCAGTTGTTACACAACATTTGTGTGAAAGCTGGCTGACCTTTTTTCATTATTTCAATGAACTACAACAAGAAAAAAAAAGAGGCTTCATTGATTTCCCCAGTGCAATTCTACTGACAGGCAGGGACAAATATGAAGTTTTGCCATTCCTGTGGCCAGTTTCTTGGCTGAGGAACAAAACTAAATTCCAGCTATATCTGTATACTGGCAACGAATTTGTTTGTGGTGACAGCCCTCATTTGGCTGAGCATTTTAGATTTGTTTGGCCTCTCTAAATCAGAGGCAATTGTCCCTCAAACAGAAAGAGAAAAATGCCATGGTGCACACAATTAATGATGGGAGAGAAGTTCAAAATAAGAAGCTCTTTGTTTAACCTTCTGCAGCCTGTAGAAGTGCACGGGCACATCTTCCAGTAGGCAGGACTCCTTAATGAACTTCAGCACTGCTTCCTTAGCACTCAGCCCTTGCTGTTCTCGGTGCATCTCTGGGGCATGTTTCAAGATGTAGTCGCTCCCCCTCTTTGCAATTATCTAAACCACAAAGAAAACAAACAAGTCAGCAACTCTTCAGCAATCCCCATGAGAGGCAGCTGTGATCAACAGAAAAGCAGGGGCTGGAGGTGGAGGAGGTTCATACATTCCCTCAAGATGTTGGTCGGTGTTTACCTCTGCCTCCCGGGAGGATAAGCATTTAAAGCACCCCAGATGACACTGATGTCTCCAAACAGATCCTAGTGGCAAAACTGTAACAGACCAAGACTACAGAGGTCATGTCAGCCCTTTTCACTTTTAAGTATAGGAATTAGTTTTCCTAACTTTTGGCATCCATAAATGTTTATGGGCAGATAACAAATACTTCTCTGCATGCCAGCACAATCAGCAGCAACATCTCTGAAGAGGCAGAAATACTAGGTTTTCCTTATAAGACCAGAAATTACACATTAGGCTTATTTAGCATTTCTATTCTCAAAGGGGTGGATAACACTATCTCAAGATATTTTTTTATCTATTAGGAGTGGTTGGCAGGCACGTGGCTTTACTAAGCAGTAGGAAAAACCTGCCCTGAGCCTTGTGCTCCTGCCCTGCCAAGTGTCCAGTTCCCATGTTTGCCCACATGCCCTCTCTGTTCAAGGCTACTGGGCAGCTCAGCCCTCTCCCATACTCAACTGGTTCTATTCAGGCTGTGAGTGGCAGTGACAGGTAAGAGGGATGATTGGCTGAATTCACTTCCCAACATCCCCCACCACCAGGGGCATTTAAAACTAGATTGCACCAGGCAGCTGAGAACATCCTGCCAGAAACAACCTGTCCTGGCTCAAACCAACCAGACCCCATCACCACCTAGTTCCCACTTACATTTAATATTAAAGCCCTTGCCTACTCTGTTTGCTAACACCTCTGCATGCCCTGCCAGATTGGTTGCCCTCCCACGAGGAAGGCTGGCCTTGGTGGAGAACAATATTGATGCCATCAGCTGTGCAGTGTCAGCAGAAAGAGATGTGCCAGCTCCACGTTCAAAGCTGGGTAGGTCAGCCCAGGGCAGCAGTGCCTCTCCTCACTGGCACAAGACTTGGGGCAGCCCTTGGCCAAATGATATGAAGCATGTGTTGAAGGAAGCAATTGTGCTGGAGGAGGAGATTGCTCACTATCTCCCCAGGGGCAGGGAGAGAAGCGTCCCCATGCCTGCCAGATTTTGTTGTTTGTAATGATGTAACAAATCACCCACATACTTGCTTGGGGGTGTGGCTCAGCACAGGTGAGCAACAATCTGTGATAAGCTTTTTAGTTGCCTCAGAAACAGTACACAAGACACACCATTTCCAGCGCTTTGTTAGCTACCTCCTGACAGGCGCCCCGTAACAAGGAATGGCATGGGATGAGGGCTTGTTGTCTGGAGAAAGGCTCACTACTGCACAGCAAAGCAGACAGGCTAGGATTTGTGCATAAAAGAGACTACTGGTCTTCAAGACAAGTCTTGTCACTAATCTGAACGTTCACCCCAAAGCACAGGACAGGGCCATCTTACAGGGGAGATGCAACTTGCCTGGGACAAGCAGTCAACTAACAAAGTCTTAGCTAATTTGCCTTTATTTGACAACTAAATAAATTCTTGGTTTTAAGTCCTGAAGGGCACAAGTCACACACACACATGCTTATAAACAAACATGCAAACTCTTTCTCTTTCCTCTTACTGCACTTGAGGCAGAGATTAATGACAAAGCAAGCACCAGAGGCACTGCACAGCAGTATTACCCTGTAGAGTTTGGATCTATCCATTCCTGAGGCAAGCATTACAGAGAGGAGAACAAAGGGAAATAGACTTGGCTTTGTAGCCCTGAGGTTTTCTGGAGAGCTTGAGTTGTGCAGATCTTGCTGATGTACCACTGGAAACACACAACCCTTTAAGCCATAGAAGAATTAAACAAAGACATCTGCACTGTCAGAGTTATTCATGTGACACCAACACATGCCATCACCAAGGAAGGATGCACCACCCACCTCACTGACGAGTGAGCCCGGGAACATGCACCTACATCCAGTGGAAAGACCAGAGATTTCTCCTGAGGGACCTTCAGGATTATACTCTACCCATCTGCCTGATCATTACAGTGGGAGATGGGGAAATTGCATGGCTGCAGTTAGGTACCACCTCGGCATAGCTCCTGCTGCATGCATGATCTGTTGACAGAAAGGCTCCCCCCAAACTTACCCATTGTGGGAAATAAGCCTGAGGTTCAAAATATTTGCCAGCATGGAGCTTCTCTCTGTAGTTGCCCAAGTCTGCCTGTAAGCTGTAGGCAGCCAGCAAGAAGTAGATTTCTTCTTTGTGGTTGCAATGAGACATAAGTACTTGCTCTTTGAGATGGCAGTAGTAGAGCTGCCGTGCCACCTTATCGCTGCAAGACAAAGGCAAATTTACTCCAAGAACAAAGTTCAGATAAGGCCCCTCAAAAACATCAACCTGCTGAGAAGAGGGATTAAACTTTGACACGTCTGATGTGAGCCAATGCCACCCTGATACAGCTGTGTGTATAAGGAGCACCAAACCAAGATCAAGGTCTTCTCCCACTAAGTGTTGTACAAACACGAGAAATGGTAGCTTCTACCTTGAGGAGCGTGAGATCTAAGAAGTTAGGGCAGAAGGCAGATGAAAGAAAAATCACATCACACCTGTTTTGGAGACTGACTACAATCAAGCACTTCTGTTTCCCTGGAAAGCCTGTAGCAGCCAGGAGAGTCAACTCCCTTGGACTCCCAGTCCTGTTTCTTGCACACCTGTCCTCCTTTTCCCTCTAAACTTGGCACTGCTTTTTGTTTCACCTTGCCTTAGGCTCATGATAGTTTTTAACAGCTAATTCCCTGCAAGGTAGATCAAAAGACACAGGAGCCCTGGGCTTTTTTTGTCTTCTTCCTCAAGCTGCTAAACAAGTACTGTCTGATAAGGAATAACTATGGCATAGCTTTGATAACCCACACACCCTGCCCTCAGAGATCATGGTAAGCAGGCTGCTGACATGTGCATGTAGATGAGGTGCTGGACACTACAGTCTGCTTGTAAAAGTATGCAAGTATAGTTTGAAGGGGCCAGATAGCTATCTCTGCATGGCTCTACAAACCTCTCCAATTAAACTACTAGTACAAGAGAAATATGCCTGTGATGGTGGAGGATATGTAACTTGGGAGTGACAGAACGGTATGGACAAAAAAGGCAAAATTAAACAAAAAACACTTATCAGCCAGACAGACTCCATAAGAAAGAGTCCCCACTATCCAAAAATGAAAGACTGCGGAGAGAGAAAACACAGAAAACCACATGCTTTGCTCAAGACAAGAATGAATGCCAAAAATTTAGTAAAGATTTTAATCCATCTAAATGATACCAGCTCTTGGCTTCCCCCAGGGACCAAGCCACACCAGAAGCACTGATGTAAATTAACTCTGTCAGTTGTTAATTTTTAACTACCTCATCCTTTGTTCTGTACCATGGGTGAGGGTGGTGCTGTTTTGAGTGCAGCCCATATTCCATGTGAATGGACTACAAATGAAAAACTTTAACTTACGAAGTAATTTATTTTGTCCATGTATGAAAGTCCATTTCCAGGAGTAGACTGCACAGAGCACTGCTCAGATATAAAAAACAGATCCAAAGCATGTGATTTGGAGTATAAATAACTGGTTTTGGTATATTCATTCGGTGCCTTTTATACAACCAAAAGACACAAGCAAAAGAGTGATAATCATGTTTTGAGAATGTCGTCATTCAACCTGCACTTTCAACACAGATCGAAAAGCATTCATAATTTTCCTAGGGATATGGAGTATGATTCAGGCAGAAAACATTCATAGCTGAGTGAGAATATCTGTGAAGATCTTAAAAAAATTCAAGCAGATTTTTAAAACTTATTTCAATGAGTTCACAGAGATGAGCTTAACAAAGGAACATTATTTTTCTTTCTTTTTAAGAACACACCAAATAATTCAAAACCCAGTAATTACCACAGAAGAGAACTTACCCTATTACTCTTCCATTTTCTACGTAGTATTGTACTCTAAAGAACGCAACAAATGGAGGGCTGAATTTCTCTGTCCCCTAAAGCAAAGACAGAAGATGAGTTAAATTATGATCAGCATCCAAAATTCCTGTTACCTATCTGGTAATGTTCTCTCCTCTGAAATTCACTCCCCATACTGCTTTTCATTTTCTACTCTTAGCAAGTTTTAGGAGGGACTCTGACTGTCTTGGAGGCTTATGACAATGACGCATCACAAAACAATCAGACAGGTTGAATGACAAAATCTCCTATGAAGAGCAGAAGATTTTAGATAGGAGGGATAAGCTGGTGTAAGACTCCCAGTGTAGCCTAGGGACACCCAGGCTGGCTCAGAATTACCTAGCTCAGCACCTGGCAGCACCACAAACACATTTGTGCTGAACGCAACAAGTTTAACCCAGCCTCCCTCAAAGTGCCAGGCAAGGCAGCAGTGCAGTGTGCCACACTGGCACGGCCATGGCATTTCCAGGGCATTCCTAGGAGCAACCATCCATCCCTGCACCACACTACATCACCCAGCATGGACACACATGCTGCCATGTTCAGCAGTCCTGCCTGGGGCTCAGGAGCACCAGTCTGGTATCAGCTACATGCTTTTTGTTTGGCAGGGCTCCTGGTTAGTTATTCACACATTCCTGCAGCCATAGAGCACAATGCACTGGTGGTGTCTGCTTCACACTGAGGAGTGCTGTTAGAAGAAAGCCAGCATGAGGCCTGTTGTTTTAGCTACAGCCTATCTTTCCAACTTACAGGCTTGTTTGAACAGGAGAAAAAGAAAAAAAAAAGAACAAAGGGAAAAAGAAGAAAGGAACATCTTACTAGCTCATTCTCTTGTCTTTCCTACTTTGCCACTTTCATGTTCACACAGGTAACTTTGCTCCCACAGGCAATTCCAAGGCTTTGCTGGTCACATTCATCTCAGTGGGACAAGGTACATGGCATGCCCTCCACACCTGATGCAGCTTCTCGACCATGAAAACATCTCCATTTTAGTCCTGGAAGTTGTTCATAGTCACCCTAGTTTATCAGCTGGACTGGGCTTTCCACCTAAAATCTCTTCATAGGAATTAAATCTTTGTCAACTAACCCAGTCCAATAGGCTAACTCATCTCAGACTGTAGTACTGCCAATGGCAACTCATTAAGTCTTTTGTGATTTGCATCACATCAGAGGTTCAACACATATCCTGACCAGGAAAGTGTAGCAAGAATCCAATCACAGAGAGACTTCAAAGCATACCCTATCCTGAGGTGACCAGAAACACCTGCTTTGGGAAGCTCTCACTGGCTGGACAGACAGCCCCTCTGCATGACTCTGGCTGTTTCTGAAGTAACTCTCACTTGTTTGCGAAAAGCAGAGCACATGCTTGGGGATAAGAGAAATGCCCAAACCTCACTAGTTATCTACAAACTTCGGTAAGTAGAAGAAATGGCAAGCATGCCTACTCTGCAAAGAAAACGCTTAGGCAAGGTGGAAAAAAGTAATTTACAGCTTTTACAACGATCCAGTTAAGATATCTGAAAGCAATTGCATGCTATACTTTGTTCTAGACTACGGCTCCTCTATTAATGACACACACAAACAGGCATTGTCATGTCTGAATGAACAGTATTAAACAATGACATAAGCTTGTCTTTATTTAATGTAGTTTTTCTCTCATCAGGGCTAGCTAGCCTTAAAGAACTAGGACTCGTCTCAAACAAAATTTCCTTCCTCTCCCTCCACTGTCCTTTTGCACATACTGTGGGAAGGGTCACAGCTCCAGTCATTTCCCATGTACCAGATTCAAGTCACCAAAGGTTATTTTAGGCTGTTTTGCTTAAGGACAAAAATGAGGTCTCCAGACTAAGATCCAGACTAAATACAAATGGAAAACTGACCAACTGACCTTCTCCACTTCTGCAGCAGCCAAGCAACAACCATGTGGTTGCTATTGCTCAGCTAAAGTTGCATAAGGGGCTGGTTTAACTAACTGTACAATTATGCAAAAGTCACTGGATCTTGCTACTGAAAAGTATTCTGCAGACCATCTTCAAAAAATGCTTTATGGACCTTAGTTTAAGAGTTTTCATTTCACTGTGCAGTCCAATAAAAAAGCAGCAGCTTCCAAAGTTAAACACCTCTCTTACTTTGGTGGTCTCTTTCTTCCATTCCTTTGAAAAGTATTTGCTAAGCTTCTGCTCCAGGTCTATAAAAACATATTCATTATCTGAAAGATAAGAAAAAATTAATTCAACATAAAATAATTGGAAATGTTTAGTCCTTAAACATTTAGGTTACTCTACAAGTTATTTCCAAGCAATACATTTGCTGACCAGGAAATAGACAGGGCAGTGGTGCTACTCCAGACAGCATGGAAGGAAGGTCATTCACCCCTTCAAGAGAACTGAGCTAAACGTTCCCAAACATCTTAGCCAGAAATGCAGAATTCCTGCTTTATAATCAAGCCATTTACAAAAAAGGGAAGCATCATCTTACACAGCTAATTGTACTGTCAGCTTACCAGATTCAGTTTTTCATTATTATTAAATGAGCAAGCCCTACCCAAGCTTGTATTCTGCTGTCATGTAGCACCACGGTCCAACATGGCAAAAGTAAGTAAATAGAACTGGGTACTTGACAGGTTTCATCCTCTGCATGTGAAGGGGATCCTCTGAAAGGGTGAGTATCAAGAGGACCAAACACAAATGCTTTTCTCAGAAGGTCTGGTGCTCCTGCTCACACCTGACTTCTTTCATATAGAGAAAAGATGAATTAAAGGAAGGAAAACCTGGCCTGCCTCAAAACACTAAAGGACCAGGACTTGCTCTCCACCCTAGTGAGAGTGAACAAGACACAGCCTGAATGTCACATCATCTTGAAAGAGGTTTGTGCTGCTTTCAAAGCTGATGTTTCATAACACTGCTTACCAATTATCAAATACAAACAACTCATCCAGTGAAAGCTTTTTTTCCTGAGTCTTCAAGTCTCTTTAAAAAAAAAGACAAGACCTGACAGGTGTTTCAGGCTGCAGTAGCAATGCCAGCTGAGCACATTCACCTGACCAGTCCCTCTACACTTTGATCTTGCTTAGAATAGTGTTTTGACAGGTGACACAAGCGCCAAGATGAAGAACTTGCTCCTTAAACATGAAAGGAGCAGGAGTAAAAAAGGGAGGGGAAAGAAAAGAAAAAAGATCCCTTCACAAAATAAACTCCTGCCCCTTAAGACCAGCCCAGACTTCCATATAAGAGCCTGCACTCATGTCTGTATTATGGCAGATGCAGGCCTGGCATGGCCAGTGTTATAGTAGGTGTTGAAGGGGGCTCTGAGCTACCTCACAGCCCTTCCAAAGTATTCCAGATCCTTACAGGGGTAGACACAACAAATACTTTCTTTGCTAGCTTTCAAAAAACAAGCAAGCAAAACAACCTCCTATCACCACCTCCTTCAGCTCCCACCTGAAGTTAAAGAAACCACACCTGGTGCTATCCAGAACTGGCCCACACATTACCCACGATTGTAAAATAGCAGTAACACTGGATACAAAAGGACAATACCAAAAAAAGTCCTGTTTCTGTCTCCATTCTCTTTCCTTCATTGTACTGCTTGCAGCTGTACTTTTAATATACCTATACTTCTGTTTATCACATTACTTGACATATCACATACAGAAACAAAACAGTATTTAACTGCACCACCAAAGTGGCTGTCTAGAATTTCTGAAAGTGTCTGTGGTGGGCAATTTAAGTGCTGTAGCACACAGGATGATATGGAAATTATTTTTGCTGTTTGGACAAGGAGAGAAAGGGTTTTTATCATCACAGAGATTGCATCTTGTACCTGCCTCTTCGATTCTGTCTAAGATAGGGTGGCTGGGAGCTACACTGGCCCCAGCCCTCCCTTCTCTAGGTCCATGAAGATCATATAACACCGCCTGGAAGAGGCTGATAGAAGTCCTAGTCAGTGAGCGAGAGAAGGGTTTGTTCATGTCAGGCTTGTCTCTGTCCCTCATCAGCTGCCAAGCTGGTAAGCATCACTCCATAAAGCTTTTATTAAAATGCAAGTAAAAGCTCATTTAGTGAATCAATTGCACAGCAAGTGACAGGAGTGGGGTAACATGAGCACACCACCCAGTCCTAGCCTGGGCTTTGACAGTCCTGCGGCAGGGCAGACCCTCCACTTTGGGCTCCCCACATGGCACAGGGTTGGTCCTGATGGCACAGCAGTGATGGGTAAAGCCTGTATCAGCTCTGCCAGCACTGTGGTCTTCAGCTGACACCTTGTTAAGAGGCTGTAACAAGTTGAAGGGTCAGTTTTCCTTTCTACTTCAACAATGATCCCATATCCAGAGGCATTCAGAGAAACACATTAATTATATTCCTCAATTAGGAGGGAAAAATTCCAATAGCAAGCACAGTGACATACCCCAAACCATCCCACCGCCTCCTGAAAGGGAAAAGTCTGACAGAACAGTTACACTACAGTAAAGCCATTTGTTACCCGCACCCCAAGCCCCTCTTCATCTGTCATGTTAATTAGGTTAGAGATGATTTTGTGAGGGCACAGATGTCAAACCTGAGGATTCCAGGTTATTATCAAGCCTACTGGGAGATACACATAAACCACAAGAATAAGCCAGGTTCCAGGAGGACACCTCAATGTATCTCTTCTTGCGGGTCCTACTCTTCCCCAGCCCAGTTCAGCATCTTCCCTCCTGTGCAAGAATGCAGCACTGCATTCCTGCCTAATGAATGGCTGGAACGTCAACCCACAATGTAAGCCTCCATCTACAAAAACAAAGAGGTATTTCCCTCCACAGCCCTACTGCTTAGTGGATGGCTTTGTTTTTTGGTTTGTTTTTTTTTTTTTTGCTTACACTGGATTAGTGATGAAACCCTAAGAGATCTTTTGCCACATGCTAAAACTGTCTGCTTTGAAAATAAGCATCTCTAACAGATATGAGGGCACCAAACTGCAGCACCTCTGAGCAGTGCTGTAAAGGACAATATAGAAATGCACAGATGGCCTCCTTTCCAGGGAAGGATAAAACAGGGCTGGATACTCAGCAGGTACAAACTGTCATTGCTTCACTGGCCTCATCTGAAGGACAAGTGAAAGGTACTAAGAAGCTGACTGAGAAGCACACATGCATAAAAATACACTCTCATCCACCTGCAGCTACTGACACTGCGTTCATGAATCTCAGCACTGTAGGTGATCTTACAAATACATCAGCTTCTCTTGAAAGGTTCCCCTATGTACGTATGTGCAGATACCAGACCTGGCACAACTCACCAGTGCACTGCACTGCAATCCCAAGAAATGCATCTGGACAGCCAGCTCCTTTGCAGTAAAGAAATTCACACACTTCTCCCAATTTCACCTTTAAGAATTCTCAAATGAGATTGAAAATTTATGCTGTAAAAATCACATTTCAAAATAAGCAGTTACCAGAAATGTAAACCACTTCTACTCTGCAAAATTAGCTTAGCACATTTTATGTATTTAAAAAAATATAAGACACGCATTGTTGGAAAAAAATAATGTGCCAGGTCCTCAGTTAGAAAAAAGTGACACAGTTCCAGTGAGTGATGCAGACTTACAACAGGCATTATTTACACTGCAGGAAAAATGGGAATGGAAAATTATGGCTGTAATATACGGTCAAATCAGTTCTGAGTCACTGTTAATCTAAAGGCCATTATTTTGCATTAACCAGTTCCTCCTCATCTCATTTTTTATGAAAAGTAAGTTCTCTGCATAAAAGCTAACTAATGGTGATGCCAAAAACCTGTTGTCCTCCTGTGCCCATTGTGGGCTAGGAGCACCAACAAATTCCACAAAGGTGTCCTACCAAGAGTCGGTGCTTAGCCCCACAGGCAGCCAGGAAGGTCCCATTAACAAATTTGGCTAAGTCATGTATATTTTAGCAATGCAACTAGACAGTCCAGAAGAATAGGATTCAAATAAAATATGAATTAGTGTGAAGCCAAATTTCCACATAGCAAGCATTTTCTGCCTAAAAGAGAAGGGAAAAAATTATCCATGCCTACTGCACTTAACTTTTCCCAGATGCTTCAATAAGCTTCATGGCAACACCACTATGTCCCCTGAGGTGCAACAGGAAAGAGAGCAGGGCAGAGGGATGCTAGGATTAGGGGAGAGCTGAAGCTTAACAAAACCACAAAACAACAAAACCCCACAATATACCTCAGAACACATGCTGCAGCCCTTACATAAGCTGAACACCAGCATGGATTTTTTTGTTTGATTATTGAAGAAGAGCTGGCTACACACCTCCTCTTGCATGTGGATATCCCTGAGCTTCCAAGCATTAGTGATTTAGGAAAATCACTACCCACATAGCACTTGCTCCCACCACCTCTGCGTAACTTCTCAATGCTCCTGTGTTACCTTTCAAGCCAACAGAAAGAAATGTTGATACGTTCTGATACATGGTTGATCAGTTTACTAAAGGGTCTAAAAGAACTTGGTTTTGGATAACCTTGCATAACTTTAGCTGGAAAGTACATGTATCCCAAGTGAAGGGAAGAACCACAACAGAGGCTGGGAGTAATGCAAGGGAGATCCTGGCTGAGGTCACTTTATGTGGGATGGACACGAGGCTTATGGAGGGTAGCATGAAAGGAGACAATATCAAGAAGCCTGAGATCTTGTGGTGTTAGGAACTGTTGAGGTCTGGACACTGAGCTAAAGGTTCAGTCATTCCTGGTAATGGATAGGTACTGCCAGAATTTTATGTTGGCATCTTACATTTAGCAACAAGGCACGCCCAGGCAAATATCTTCAGACTTAAGCACTGTCACGGGGGATTCTTCTGCACAAGAAGAGCTGCAGAACCATTTCCAGCACTGCTCATCCAGGGGCAAACAAACCCTTTGCAATTCTCAGGCAGGAGAGCACTTCTCTGGATGTTGTACTGATACCAAAGGAGAAACAATTGACAGCAAGTACAGGCAAAAAGTTCCCTTCATAGGAAGAGATCATATAAGTCCTTTCAAGGGGTACTTTATACTCTCTGGACATTTGAACCCCTGCCCACCCTCCAGGTGGTACATTTCTGCATGTGTTTTTCTTATATTGCATATAACACATCTGAGGTACCAAAGTAAGTGTAATAGAGTTGTACCGTAGGTTAGAATACAGGAGAAATTCCTAAAGAAGATTTAACTATGCAAGCAGATTTAAGAGAGGACAGGCAAGAAGCATGGATAGTGAGGAAGGACTGGTGTGTAGAAATCATTATAAGGTATTTCAGAGAACTTCTGTTATTTGTCTCCTAAGAGACCCTTTGTTATAAGCGATACTCATGTAATATAAAGATAACCTGTTCGCATATCCTGTTCATGAACTTCAGTACTGGAAGATATACAGAGGCAGAAGAATTAACTGAAGGCAGAGTGATTTTGGCAGAATTAATCACTGAGCTCCTTGGTAAGCATGTGCTGGGAAGCATGGGCCTGGCAAGGTGAACAGCCATAGCTTTAAAATTCAGAATATTATCGTTGAGGCAGGGGAGCTAAAGCAAAGGGATTTGGTTTCATAAGAAAGCCAGCCTGACAAATTCATAAGAGGACACAGAAATAGTGGCAGGGTATAGGAGCTGCAGTCTTACTCCTTCCCAGTTGAAGGCTTCCATCTGCTTAGATCAAGCAAGGTTTACTCCTAGAAAGGCATGGCCCAAAACTCAGGATCTAAGGGATCTGAGTTATAACAACAAAGGAAGCCTGGCTGTTCTTTGTCTGCTGACATTCAGTTTTGTTTTAGAAGACTGAATGTGTCACTGCTCACACTTTCTGATAACAAGAGGGAAACCTCCTGCAGGGCACTAGATAATGTTGACCACACAAGAGGATTTTCCATATAAGACCCTGCTGCTGAAGCCTATGGAACCAGATTGAACCTGGCAGGGTCACAGGATCTTTCACTGAGCAAACTACAAGTTAAAAAAAAAAAAAAAAAATTAAAAACCAAGCACTTCAGCAGCAGCAGCACACAAGGTAGAGCCTGCGTGATGATCCATGACAAAGCTAGAAGAGTAACATGTCCCGAGGTTTGTAGGACCTCTCATTAATGCACATGCCTGAACATGATTTCCAAAGTGATCAAATTCTTATAGATAGAAGTTTTTTTTCTCCTCAGATATATTGGGCTGAAGCAGTTTTCCTCTTGAGAACAAAACAACAGTTCAAGAGCAGAAGGGATGAAAAATACTATCCTGACACTGTAACTGTTACTCTTAATCCTGAAGCTTGCCCTCAGCATCTGCAATAGCCAGAAGAGAAGGCAACATATTTAGGCATCAAATGCTGGGAAACTCGCTCCAAGACCTGCAACTTAGATCTTCCAGCATTCATGGGTTTGCAGCTTGCATGTTGTTTTATGGTCCCATTTCCCTTTTTGCCACACTTAGGGGTTAAAATTCTGTTTATGATTAAGGACCCCAACCTCTTCCCCCACACACGTACTTACCATGAGACCAACTGAGCCTTAGAGTACAATGTCTGCAGGTCAAATGGGCTCCTAATCCAGATAATCCATGCAGTGTGATTGGCTACAGTTCTGAAGAAATCCTTTAATTTTTATTCTCTTGCTACTGCTGACAGTCATGGTTTTGTTGACAAATTAGCAGCAAAGTAATGGATGCAGGTGGATTAGAATATCTTGTTTTGCATGTGGTAATATCAGACCACCAAAAATAAATACACATTAAGAAATCAGGAAAGATGATATTACTAAAATAGGGTGGCTGTTTTTAAAAAGTGTCTTCTTGAAGCTGCAGCACAGAGGTGAAAGCATGATGAAGGAGAGTATTACCCTGTTCAAAAATGTAGATGCTTCCTCTCCGTTTTTTGGATACCTAGCTCAGCCTTTCCTAAGGAACCAGGCCCAGGCCTCCCCCGCTTCACAGCCTCTGTGGGATTCACACTGACTTGCTACTCAGCAAAGGCAGTCGACTTAAGCAACCACAAGGCAACCCTGGGAATGCAACACTTACCCAGGCCCCGCCACTACCTGACCTGAGCACTTCCTTTTTTGGAGAAAATATCTTGTTGTGAAGTCAAAAATCCCTGAGAAGCAGACAATACCTTAAAGGCTACTTACAAATGCCAGACTCAGCACTACATTTGCTATAGAGGCAAGACCTCAGCTACCACAGATAGCAAGAGAGATGATCACCAATCTGCTGACCAAAACAAGGCGGAGAGAAACCAAGTTGTGGAAGAGAAAAAGTATTTCCTTTTAGGAAAGCAAATAACCAGCCCCCAAAACAAACAAAAAAAATAGATGTTAATTCAGGCCACTGGACTCTTGTAACTCTTTTCCTTGACTTTTTAAGAACTTTCTGGAAGAATTAGCTGCTAAAGAAAGGAAGAATACTTTCATGAAGTGAGAAGACTCTTTCCACTTAAAGCTGTGGACAATGTACTCTAAAGTCTAGTCAGAACAGCTCTATTATGTTCTTTGGGATGTGGTGGTTACAATGCATTTCCAACAGGCTGAAAGGTATCTGCCACTACAGGTTACTTTGGGACCAGAAGCCCTGTACTTGATAGGGTGAAGCAAACTGCTTCACAGTAAAGGTATGAGGGAAGGCAAAAGCAGGGTACGGAAAATATGAAATAAAAAACATGTGAAGGGGAGAAAAAAGTGAAAGAAACATGGGAAAACAGAAGAATTCAAAGAAAATAGGAATGAAATTGCCCTGTCTTACAGGAGAGCACAAGAGTTCTAATTTCAGCCAAGGCGTCCTGCAAGTGGAATAGGCAAAACCTGGTGTTAAAAAAATGCCTCAAAGGGGAGGACTCAGAAACACAGATGATTTGTAAAAAAAGTTAAGAGCATTCAGGTCTCCTCACATTAAAAAAACTATGCTGGTTTAAAGCACAGGTATATTATGTTTAAGGAATCTTTTGGAGACTCTACAAACCTCATGGAGACAAAAAGCTTATGTTCCTCTCAGTTTGAACGCTGCTGTCGGGGTCCGCTGTTATGTGTCTCCACTCAAAAAAAGCAGTTCTTACAGAATGGGAGCATAAAGGAAATGAGACAAACTTAGAAAAAACACCTTATTTTATCCTATATATTTATAAAGAGGCAAAAGAAACCTTATTTAGAAGGACTTATAAAAGACTACTATAATTTCAGTGAAATATCTAGAATTGCAGTAGTAAATAAAACACCTGAGAAAAGTTTTTGGAGGAGAGGCAAGTCTTTCAGTGCTTTTGGAACTATGGGGAGGCAAGATAACCAAACAACAGATCCATTTCTAATTACTAAGAGTTGGAGTATGAGAGGGAACGTCAATGCTTACACAATACCAGAAATGTGATCTCTCATATGAATTTGCTTCTTTAAGGCATCATCTTAACACCATTTCCTGGCCAATACTAAGCCATAGGACCAAGCAAACTGGACTTTAAGTCATGGACTAGAAGCTTTGTATTTCCCATGTGATATTTCAAAACCCAATGTGTCCCACGCATGTATTCAGTCCCTTATCATTTGACTTTCCTCCCCAGTGCCACATTCTTCACATGTGACTTCAGAAAATAACTAACAATTTCAGCCCCAAAATCCTTTTAAAATCCACATCCTGTTCAATATCTATAGTTTTGAATAGAGTAACAAATACCTTGACTATCAACTCCCACTACAGGAGAGAAAGCAAGCCCCACAAAGAGGTGGAATCCAAGAACAAAGGTGGAGAACAAACGCCCCCCCTTTACTCAATTTGTCTGCCCACATACCAAAGATCAAAAGAGCTCTGGGAAGGCTCTGCATAATCTACATACTTTGTGACCTTATTACAATCAAATTCCCCCTGCAGGCACAACCACTGTGTATGTATGCACACACTGTAAATACACAAGCGGGTCTCTGGATGTTTGCCAAGTCACTTGCTCGTGCATTGAGTTTGCTTACTTTTAACAATGCTGAGGCCAAAGAAGTGAGACTCTTTAATCTTCACTAAATCACAAACTTGCTGAAAGAGCTCCAGTCCAGTGGCTTTGACCTGAAAGACACAACCAATCCAACATTACAGATGGCTCGTGCACCTGGATGGAGCAACTCTTCTAAAGAATGAGTTCTAGAGAAGAGTTGCAGGCCAATACATTTTTGGATACCAAAGTAAAATACCCAAACACAACCACACCAGAGAACATGCTTTGTTGTAAGTATTATTGTTATTATCATAGAATAATAATCATTAATATTTACATAAATGAAAATACTGCTCCCTTGCAAATTTTTTTTGAGGGGAAAAAAAACCCCAAAAAAACCAAACCAAACCAACCAACCAAGCCAACCAAAAAAAAAAAACCAAAAAAAAAAAAAAAAAAAAAAAACAAAAAAACCCCACCCAAAACCAGAAGTTTTCATTCAGGAGAACCAGGAACAAAAGTACCCAAACAAACACAAGACTCTGAGTAGCTCATAGGTTAGAGATGTGTTTTTTTCTGTACCCCACACAGAAAAGCTTGTTCTGTCTCCTGCTGACTTCTAGTCACACAGCCATCAACATTTTTATCTTTAGCAGCTGCAGCCAAAAGCCTGTAAGACCTTGCCTGTTTCTCTGCACACAGACCTTCTGATATCCCTGCCTCCTGTAATGCACAGACTGCCCCAGAAGGAGCATGGTTCTGGTTAACTGCATGTGCAGACCTGGATGTGCACTTTGATAGGAAGATTCCCCCACTAAATGTCCCTCCATAGCCTCATTTCCCCCTGTCGCAGGCACCATCCCAGGAGTACTGACAGACAAAGCACAGGTAAACACAGAAACCCCTCAGCCCACAGAGACATGGGGGAAGGAGTCCAGAGAAAGAGCAGATGGGGAGAAGAGAACAGCACTGACACAACCTCAGCTGCAGCCATGGTGCAGCCAGCTGCAGCTGCAAAATGGGCCAAGACCTTGGAATTTCATTACCCCGCTGCTGGACCATGCAGATTAGCAGTGCCAGGAGCAGCTGCCTGCAGGGGTACAGTGCAGTGCTACAGACTGAGCAACAAAGATGACAGGGCAGAAGTTGACTGTTTAACTCTCCTACAAACCAATCACCATCCTAATTTTGAAATTTTTAAACCTTTCAGTTTAGGCATGCCACACACCCCAGAAACTGGCTTGCACTCACCTCCCTGCCCCACGCTGTACCATGTCACTAGATATGGACAATGGGAAACAGGAGGTCATTTAAGTACTCATTTTCTTCTACTTGACAAGGAATCAGTAGCCAGACACTCACTACTGTTTTATCAGGAGCTTGGAAGTCTGTACTACACCAATGCAAACATGTGTAAGCTTTGAGCTGGGAGGAGGTAGTGCACAGTTCTGATAAGACCCAAAACCACATCTGGGTCTTATGAGTCTCCATGTGAGACTGCACCCTTTTAGTCTCACACCTAGATGCAGTGTTTGGTCAGACACCCACAACACACATTTGGAAGGTAAAGTTGGTCACAGAGCAATCTCCTTTGCCAAAGAAGCAAGCTCTGACTATGTTCTCCTACCTGGGAAGGATTTGCTAAGAAAGATGTGAGCTACCTCTAGCCAGAATGGTTATAGGCGTACAACAGTCACTGGCAGCACAGAACTCTCTGTAAATTGTGGAAACACAATGGGATGAATTTTCTAAGTGGCAAGCTTTTATACCTAAGGGAAGAAAAACCTGCTTTAAGATACTTAATTCTGGGGAACTGAGCACTTCAAGTGACAGTTTTGTGGCACACAGCTCTAAACAGTGATTTAGGCAGGGTTCTTGCACAACAGGTATGTTACTACCACCTTGTCCATTCTCCTCTTGGCACTTCCCTTCTGTATCAAGTTCTACTCCCAGCCTTAAAGGCTATGCAATACCAATTTCATTTGCTGTTCCCTCCTACTTTCCCCTCTGCTCAAAGCAACCAATACTTTCCCCTTTGCAATTTTCATCTTTGGACTTTCCTCCCTATGCATATGGTTCCTGTGCCAAGATTGATCTCAGAAATGCTACGACTCATTCCTTCCACTGATACTCAGCTTTGCCCCATGTCGGGTTCAGGACTTCTTTAGATGTGAAATTTAGTCCAAAGTGAAATTAAGTGTAAGTTTACAGACAGTACCTGCTACTCCAAGGTCATTCTGTGTACAGATATTCACGTGCATTAGTTGCCTATATCTGTTCTTCTTGGTACGTATGCTTTCAAACATTGGCTCTCCTGTTCACCGAACAACTGAAAGACTTCAGACCTATGCTTGCCATTTACCAATGCACAGGACCTCACCAGACTTCCTCCACTCCAAAACTTTCTTCCACTTTTCCTTGCCCTCCTCAGAGCAGCTGATGAGCTGCAGCACCCCCTAGTTCCCCTCACTGCTCTGCTTCTCCTCACATTCACTATTGGTCCCAAGAAGGCAGTTTTACTCCTCACCATCCCCCCAGATTCATTGTACATTCAGAAAGGTAGACATCAAAGCTAATTAAGAGATACTTGAGTGCAGGGGAAGAGAATTTAAAATGGCTCCTGCTCCTCCCTCTTCAACAGCACTATCTATGAATGGTGTAAGACAAATACATTTTAAAGAGCAAGCTTCAATCGGTATGTGACCACATAAAACACATATAGGTAAACTCTTATCTGGAAGGGTGGAATTTATATGGGAGGACTTACCTACATAAACACTGTGCTTATCATGGGAAGGATCTATAATTTATTCTGCTGGAAAAATAACCATTCCTACTTACCTCAATGAGCTGCAAGCTTGTTTAGTATTTGCATTCCACACTGGAGAGGTTAAAAGGCTTTGGAAATCTTTAGTAGTAGCATTATTATTCTAATAAATGCACAAAGTATCATCTGTGGTTATGCTAATTACATTTGAGTTCTACCAACATCACTACAAAACTGCCTTGATGTTTCTTTAAAAAAGAAAGACCTTTTCAGCTGTGAAATCTTAATTTTTGTTGCTGTTTTGAAAGAGTGTTGTCATAAAGTCAGAAGCCAAATGAGAAGTTGTTTCTGGTGACTTGCCCAGCTGTAACAGGTCATGTTTCACTCTCTATGCAATTAGGACACAACTGTGTGTTGAGGTCTCATGTTTTGGCCCAGGCAGCTATTCCCTTTCACACGCAGGCATCTCCAAGTACATACTTTCCCAATTTCCCAGACACGAAAGAAAGGGGGATCAGAAATGACAAGGGTGAATGTCTTTAAAGGAATACAGAGGGTTGCTGTGGAGGATTCCTCTGCAGGATGAGCGCAGTGATGCACAAGGCACCGCAGCTTTTTGGAGGGTCAGCAGGTTGGGACAGGACAGGGGAACAGGAAGGGACACAGCACTTTTCTTCTGTTCCTGTCAGCACTCAATGCAAAAGTCTATTTCTTATGCTTATTAAATATTTTAGAGGTATTAAAAAAGACATGCAGATGTAGCATTTAGGAACCTGGTTTAGTGGTGGACTTGGCAGAGTCATGTTTATGGCTGCACTCGATCTTAAAAGAGTCTTTCTCACTCCAAATTTATTTTATTATAAACTGCAGGTTTTTGTGATGTACTGGAGCATGACCCAGTGGTGAAGGAACAGCTGTGTGCTTCATTCAGGCACACCAACAGCAAGGAGCAGTGACATTGTCAGCCCTGCTGGCACTGCCCTCCTGAACATTCCCCATGGCTGGCTGGCTCTGCTATTTCCCATCTTTAGTCTCCCTTTAGTCTCTCTCTCTCTTTATAAGAGCTATAAGAAGGTGAGATTTAGGGTCAGCTGCAACAGACCCGTACACCTGCTGCCAAGAACTTAATTAAATCATTGTTTTCTGCCTTGCACAAAAGCCAGCCGATTGCAGAAGCCTTCTGGGGCAGTAGATGGGCTGGGTTTGAACCAGTAACCTAAAAGCACAGCGTCCCAGATTTTTCTGTTAAAGCTTTATTCCATCCAGCCCTCGAGGCTGTTTCAGTTAAGGACGCTACACTTAGACACAGCAGGTAGCAAAATCAGACACAGATTTTGAAGATTAGCACACATAGTTTCAAAAGCCACAGTTTCAATCAAGTACTTAAAATAACAGTTCACCTCAACTGTCTTTTCCCCCTCCTCATCCCACAGCAGGGGGAAAAAAAACTACCCAAAACAAAGCCATATCTCCCCAGCCCTTATGAGTGAATGCACATACTCACAAGAGAGCACTTATCTTTGAAACTTGCTGCTCCTCTGAAAGCCAAGTGCCTCTTGTCAGCTCAGTTTCTCACAAGTTCAAGGAGCAGCCGGCATTGCACAAAGAGGCACCGTGCTGTGCAGACACCGTGCCACCCTGGGCTGCCAGCTGAGCTGGCCCTACTGTCACTCATGCACACTTTGACACATTCAAGGCAGCAATCAAAGAAATGAAGTGACTTACCTCGATTTTTTGTGTGTACGAGTACCCAAGAGGAGGGCAAAAACCCCACCCTCAATGGCTGTTTGCCTTAGACTTTAAAGGGGTCTGCAGGCTGTCAAAACCAGTGATAGCTGGACTCTTTACAAGAGTAAACAGTCATATGTTGGGCATACTTGCTAAGTAACCACGGTATTTCGGGTTAATTTTTTTTTTTTTAATTGTTGGATTATTACAAGCAGCAAAACCATTCAGAGATAATAAAAAGTAAATAACAACAGAAAAAGAGCAGAGGAGACCCCCACCCTACAAATACAGCCATGACTTCTAACAACTCCGTGAATGAGCTGAAGCTCTATTTCCAATTAGAAAATGGAGCATCAATTACCCTAAGCTGGCTAATAGCCTTTTGGTCAGCAGACCAGCACCAGGCTGTTGGGAGAACAATGGGAGCTAACAAAACTGAACCATGGCCACGATGCAGCGGCCTCCCGGCCACTCACCCCAACTGCCAGGCTGAGCTGCTCACGGGTTGGCAGGAAGACGCAGACGCTCCGGATCTCTGGCTGCATCCTGCCTGCCAGCAGTGTCCTGCTCATGGTGGGCAGCTCCACAGAGGCTGGGGTCTCCTCTCCAGACAGGTGTCAGGCTCCCTTCATCCCATGTACCTGTTGAAAAGGTGAGATCATCAGTGCCGTGCTTCTGTTGGCACTGGGAGCAGATCACAGCATGTATGTGATGAGATGTTTAAAAACAAAACCATTCCCAACAGTCATCCATTTTCCAGGGCCAGTCAATGTTTCCACCAGCATCACAGCACAAACCAGGCAGCATCAACCTTTTAAACAGCTTGAAAGTCCCATGAGAGTGCCATAAAGCAATGAAGTCTCCCTGGAATAACAAACCAGACTCAAGGTTTCCAAACTCATACAAGCGATAACACAGGTGGTACCTTGGGCCATTGCCTGAGAAAACCCTTGACATGGGAGAGTGCCCCACACTTCAGCCAGTCACCTTGCTCACTCCCAAAGCAGAGATTTCAATGGGCTGTCAACAGGCACATGTCAGTGCAGAGGAGTTCATCTGTGCTGTCCTCCCCCTCACTTCATCCCTACTCCCTGGGAAACCACTGCCTGAAGTCCTCTACACCTCAACTCAAAGGAGGAGATGGAACACAAACTCAAAAGACTGAGCCACTGTATAACACCTTTTGTCAGGTAAGAATTGCCCTCCTCTCAAGCACTGAGCACAGGCTTGAGATGCACAAGCATCTTACAGATGAAGTTCAGATAGATATTAACAGAAATAAGAGACAGAAGTTTTCTTTGCAGCCAAATGCACAGTAGACAACATCATCTTGACTTTACTGCTAGGTTAGACAGTTTCCTCAGCAACTTGTACCATTTCATGTACAGCCCTCTCCTCTCCAATGCTCTCAGCATTCCTCTCAGGAAGTATCCTGTGGCACCTGATGAATCCATCAGGAAGGGGAGAGGCTCCTTGAGGGTGGGTTAGGGATCAATGCCAGCAGAGACCTAAACCAGCAAGATACCAACCACGGGATCCACTCCATCCCCATACAAGTTTTGATGTAAGTCAACCCCCAACTGCCCCGAACAAAGGGGGTGACTCCCTTCCACCAGCAACACCAGAGCACTCACCTGCAGCACAGCAACAGAGGTGTTGCCTGTCCCCTAAGTCCCCATACACCCAGGGAAGGTGCAGACCCTAGCAAGGGCAGCCTGATGCACTGGTTCTGGCAGTGCCACCCTCTCCCACTACCCACAGCCCAGCCCAGCCCACTTTCAGGGGACAGGCTGTGAAGGGAGCCCTGGGCTTTTCCTTCACCCTACACAACGCATAAAACATGAGGGATCGCAAGCAGCAGGGAAGCAAGCCATGTTATGCTAACACACATACACATATATGCATGTACTTGTGTGCCTGTGCACTACAAATAAGTTCAAAAATCATGTTTATCCTGGTTCAGGAGAAAATTGTGGCAGAATCAAATTCATGAGTGGGAGATGGGAAAAGCAAACAATAATGTAGAATACAGCAAATAGAACTTGGATTTATATCTCTTTCTACTGTACTCACACATCAATTTTTTAAAAATTATTTTTAAAGCAAATACAGAATAGATCCAGGAGTGTCCTCTTGCAAATACAGAAGCTGTTCCATGCACTGCCTTCCCTGAGCCAGCATATACAATGCTTCTTAACAAAGCAATTTTTGATTCAAGCTATGTAGAGCATTCCTTATAAGACAGAAGTACACAAAAAATGCAGACAAGGGAGTTATTAAAGTATTTTTTCAAAACAAGTATTTCGTTTAACAAGATGTAGGAGTTTTAAAAATACTGCTCTAAACTAAAGTAAGTGAGAAAAAGACATTTGACCTTATGGGACAAGTGAAAGCTGCTATTAACTGAAATATTAAGAGGAAAATTCTGATTTATCTTCTCTCATTGAAATAATTATACTCACATGCTCTCTCAGGGTCCGGACTACACACTATTAACAGCTGTATATAAATTACAGATGTCTAAAGAATGACTTGAGGGCAACAGGTCACCACTATTATTGCCAGCTGATGTAATTCGTGCCATCAACTTTATCAACAGCATAAAGACCTCAAGTATGAGCTTATCTTAATTGTCAAACGGCTGCACTGGCCAGTACACGTTCCCTCTCACAAGGAAACATCACAGCCAGTAAAGACATTCATGCGACTCAGAACTGAAAGTAGGACAAAAAAGTTACCATAAAACACAAACACATGCACACAGATTCCTTTGGACATCTGAAGAAACTGACTCTCAGTTCCCCACAGCCTCTATAATAAAAAGTTTTTTGACAGTTTTTTCCCACACCTGCTTTTTCCATTTGAATTTTTAAGAGAACAGCTGTGGAGCCTCAGAACAGGGAAGTGAGAAAGGCAGAAGAGAAAGTGTTTTCCTTCTTATGATTAAAAAAAAAAAGAGCTTCTGGCCCCTCTCACAACAGGTAAGGGGTTAAAGAAAAAACATCCTTCATCTGAAGGGGGAGGTCAAACACAAGCCCAGCTCAACCTTCTCTTCTTTAGAGGAATGTTAGGATGTGATAAAACATAATGAATCATTAACTTGCTAGCAATGCATGTTTACACCTTTACTTTTTTTTTTTTTAAAGAAGTTGTGAGTCAGGAATAACTGCCCAATGCAAACAAGTGACCAGAAGGAATGCTCTTTCTTAAAGATACACAATTTCAGACTGCCCATATGCCATTCCTTTGTTTACCACAGATTCCAACCTCTTAACCTCAATTAAACCATAAAAGCTCCAGCAAATGCACTGCAGATGAATTAATAAAAGCTGAAGTCAATCATCAGCCTCTGGGACACCCTACAGGTTGTTTGTTTTTGTTGTGTTGCTTTTTTATAACTAACATCACTTCATGTTTTAGCTCCTGAATAAGTGCATTTTGAGATGCAATTGCTTGGTCAAAGGCCCAGCAAGTCTATCAATTAAAACAGTCAAAGGCACTATTTATTTGTATTTTTATGGTATGAGACAGGAGGCTTATTAGTGCTCAGAGTGGTGGCACAGCTTATTTAGCATTGTTTATTTTACCTAAACACACATGCAGAGGATCTTTGGAAAACATGCTTGTCATTAACTTCAAGCCTTCTCTCACTAAGCACCTCAAACATGGTCATAAAACCTCAATTAAATCTTCCCCTCCTCTCTCCACAGACCCTCAAGTTGCCTCCCAGCACAGGGCCAGAACCTCAGCACTTGCTGGATCAAAGCAGGAATGGATGAGGTTTGCTCCAGCAAGGCAGAAAAGAGCAGCAGAGCCCCCCACGGGAGGGAGAGTTGAATGAGAAGGAAGGAGACATTTGCTTCAGGGATCAGCAGGATGGCTCACTGAAACACCTCACACCCCACCATACACTCAATGACACAAGGATGTCCTGCCACCACTGAATTTGGGGCCGTGCCACTGCCAGCCTGTCTGGGAGAAGGTCTCATCCAGACAGCATGTGGGTTCTTGTAATGAACCACTGTATTTTACACACTAGTTCATAACACCACAGCAAACTGGGTCCTAATTCTCATTTTAGCCTCTAGGTACAGCTACAACCACATCTCAAGGGGATAATGGGAATAGATAAATGAGCCATAACTTACCAACTCAAGAGTAGCAAAGCAGAACAAAATTCTTATCTGTCAAGAAAAAAAGCACAGGTAATTCTGTGCTTCTCTCACAAACACATGGAAACATGCTTTTTAAGGTTTATTACAGTAAAACATCTGCTTTTCTAGAGCTGATAGCGAACGAGCACCAAGCATCTTCCTGATAAACCTTACCACAGTGGCCCTACAGCCTCTCAACAAAAATTGTCCAGAAACATTAAGACTCTTCTTAATATTTTCCAGACATCATCCAGAGATCTCTTCTAAGGCTTCTAAGAACACTATACTCTTAGACTGCAGTTTCACAAACAGCTTAAGCAGCTTTAATCAAGGCAGTCCTGCAGCAAGACAGACAGACAACTGCCTGGAAAGAAATCTGCCTTTGGCACATGGGCTGCCTTGTACTCATGATGAAACACAGTCGTAGAACTGAAAACCCCCCTCACCTTCCAGGTATTTTGTCCCCTCAGATGCGTACTGGAGGGCACCAGTACTATCTGCAAAAGAGAGTATCAAAGAGCCTGAGCAAGTAAAAGATGTCATGATGGCATGTATAAGCCGTCTCAGCAATTTTAAAAAACTCCACCCACGTCCTTTGACTAACCCTTGCAATGATGAAAATTTCTCTGAGAAGATGCATCAACCAGGAAGGAGCGGAAACACAGTTGCCTGTCAGGGCAGAAAACAAGATTTAAGCTAAATAGCTTTATGTCATGGCTGTAAGATGATGTGAAAAGTGCCACCTGTGACCAGCAGTTAGGACAACTAGGTCACATCCTGCAGCAAACTCCCAGAAGCACATTGACTTTTCAAATGTGTCTACCTCAGTATCGTTCCAGAACTAGCACAACACATCCAAGGGCAAAGATGCCACAGAGAGGTAGGTATCCACACACTGCTTTTTGGGTAAAATATACACCTGTCTTCAAACACTGCACACCACTTCGTAGGAAACCCCTGTTCAAAGCCACTGAACAAGGAATACCAAGACACCTCCCAGTCACTTGGGCGCTTTGAAGAACTGGACTCCAGAACTGGTGCAGCTTGGCTGTGGGCATGTGCAACACTGACAGCAGAGACAACTGGCTTCAGCCCACGGAAGTGGGAGATGCAACTACAGCAGGATCTCCATACCTGGTCAGGTGTGACCACAGTTCTCTCACAGGACAGGGATGTGGGCCTGGCCCCCACCCTTCCTTTAGGATTCTTCAAGAGGTGCAATGCGAGATGCCTTCAAAAACTCCAGAGCTGTGAACCCAAGCCGATGTGACAGGGAAATCGCTGAGCATTGGTCTTACATACCAGCCAACATCCTTTTATCCTTTCTTCCTGTACAAGCAGCACTCCTTGGTGACACTGAGCTTTAACAACAGCAAGGAAAATGCTTTCTTGCTAGTCTTCATTGAAGGATTAGATGCAGCTCTTAGTTAGGCGTGACTGATTGGGCTCTCCACCTTTGTGCTATAAAGTCTTCCTGCCCCACGTCAAGCAGTACAAGTGAATCCTAGAACAGGAAACATGCTCTAGTGCCTGTAACTCTTCTGCTCTGCAGCCTCCCACAATGTGTTTAAGAAGAAGGGATCTCCCAAAATTCTGTGGACACCAATTCCTAACCTAGGACCATGCTGCTATGACACTCTGTAGGCTGCCCTAGTCCTTAAGCTCAAAAATAGGGATAGCTCTCCTAACCCAGGGGTGGTGACATTCTCTTGCAGCCAAACAAAAGTGACTGATGTTTTTGGGTGCACTAACTAGTCTTGAAGGAGAGGAAAAAATGCTTAACAAAGGACAGAGCACCAAAGGAGGTGCTCCTGCAGCACATGGAAACACAAGGGCAGGGCAGCAATGTAGGACCATGCAGCTGCCATGCTTCCACCCACCTCTCCCATGGCAAGAAGAAAGCTCCTCAGCAGTTTGCTCCCTTTGAGGACAGCACAACATGAATCACTTTATGATCTTAATATTTAGCTGAAACAAAACAGTTCAGGAGCTCTTTGAAAGATACAGACAATGAGTATTAAAGGCTTCAGGCAAAAGGGGATGAATTAGGATCTCACAGGGACTATGTTTTTTCCATCACTTTTAAGTGATGGAAAGTGGCTTTGAATTTTTGTACTCAAAAACAGGCAGCCATTTAAAATACATTATCAGTACTACATGCAAAACTGACCAATGTACACGTTTTAAAGAATGCCCAAACAGTAAAATCTGCATCTAGAGCATGCAATTCCTTTCCAGCACGCTTTTTTACCAGGGGAGACAAACAATCTTCTTGTGGGAAGATATGTGGATCAACTGATCCTTCCTTTTCACTGACTGGTAAAAATAGTAGTATGTACTACTACTTTTGTAGTATATACAGTAATTTTTTTGTACTGTAGTACTACTGTATGTTTTATACTGTAGTACTACAGTAATTTTTTTCTACCCAATAGCATCTGACTACTGACACACAGTTTCTATTGCAATGAATTTCATTACTGCTGCATAATCTACTTGTTTATTGAATACCAATCACTTATAAGTCTTTCTCATACTTCATAAATCCAGCACATTAATTAAAGTTTAAGAGTAAGTGGCAATTTAAGGTATCAACTGGCCTAGGCTACTGCAGAAGCATGAGAAAGAACCAGCAAAATATGGCACTGGGCATGAGCCAGCCTCAGTATCCATTACACTTCACACAGAGCAGCTACAGAGGAAGCCTAGTCAGAAATGCCAAGCTCCATTTTCTCAGCTGGATCCCCAACACACATCACATGAGATCTTCCAAAAGTTAAGAGAAGTGAATTGCTGGAATAGCCATTCAGTAACAGCAACCTTGTCACCCCTCAAACACACTGAAATGTCCCTTTCGAGATGGACCCTTAGGGAAATCTCATGTATGGGCATACAAATGCACAGCTGGGAGTGCAGTAAAGACAATGCCAGCCCAGAATCCCGGTGTAAGAACCAGAACAGAGATACTTCAATTTAGCACTCCAGTGCTTGGCAATTGCCTTGTAAATCGCAGCTCTTTAGTAAGATCTTTCATCTTTTCTATCTATGTGAAACAGGAGAGGCAAAGTACAGGCAGCAAGTTCTTTGCAATAAGGGAAAGTCAGGCTTCCTTCACAGGCACAGCAACTGTCAGGAAACTTAGGAAAAGCAGGAAAGCAGCAGCAAGACCTGGCCTCTCTACTGACAACTCAGAAGAGAAGCACCTTCCTATACTATGCAAATTGCAAATGCACAACATGTCCTGACCCAAAAGCCTATCAGTTAATTCTCCAACTGGAAACATATTCCATTTTTAGTTTACCAAGGCTATAAACAGGATCTCTCCCAAGGGGATCCACTATACTCTTGCATCAAGCACAACAGATGAGAGATACTCTTCTACAAGCCTGTCTTTGCACAAGTTATTTTACAGGGATAGTATTTTTTCTCTTGAGCTACACTGGACTGACTTGAAATGTATCCCTAAGACTCAAGAAGCCTGTTGCAGAACTGTCCAAAAATTTCTTCATTGCTATTCTCACCAAGATCTTCTAACAGTTATAGAAGCAGTAGACTACAAAGTCTTTATTAAATAAATAAATAAATAAATAGCAAAGCGTAATTATAATTTCACAAGCAATACCTTGAGCTGCAGGATAAATAAGGAGAGATGTGGGGTGGGTTTTTTTTGTTTTTTTTTAAACAACGTGACAAATTCTTCTGAGTAGGAATAGCTTCTCTACCAGTAATAACCATGTAAAAAAAGTGTACAGCTAGTCGTGAAAATATTCAGAGTAGAGAGGAATACTGATTTATGTGAAGTGGACAAAAAGAATAGATAAAATTCCAAGTGGAACACAGCTTGCCTCTGTTACAAGTGTGAAAATGCCAATCTGCTGATACCTTGGCAAAATTAACACAAACAGCAGGGACTTTCAGAGACTGCACACATCACTGTCAGACATCAGCTTTAGCAAAGCAATGGGGAAGACACAGACAAAAAAAGAAACAGAACAAAAAAAACCCAGCCTTACAGAGTGCTGCATTTTTGAGGCAATGCTGAATTGTGAAAAAAGAGGAAATAGAGGGAAAAAAAGAAAAGGCAAACATAAGAAACGGTTAAACAAGAAGCAAATTATCTTCGTCTGCAATACTCCAGGGAGCAGCTCCTCATTGCCAGATGATCTTGTTTGGGCCTAGCTCACTGTTTGTCTGTGCAGTTACTAATCACACACCACAAATTAAGGTGCCACTTTGTAACACCACCAAGACAATAAAGCAGCAGTGCAGTAACAGGGGGCTTTCGGCAAGAAGAGCAATGCAACTCTGGAGCACAGTAAGCATGCAAGTCATTTGCATCGTCTCACTTTGGAGGAACAGTAGGGAGACTTTACAACAAAATCCAACTGATAGAGAGCTAATGATTGGATTCATATGTTTTTTACCTGCAGTGCTGGGAAAAGTGCTGTAGCTTTAAAGTACTATCAGCTTTGATTTAAAAAAAAAACCAAACTAAAATATAACAAACAAAAAAACTCCAAAATCCCACAAAAATTCACCCATAAAAAAATCTAAATGACTGGCCCTCACCTGGGTCTAAAACCCTCTATCAGAAAAAGACTTAGATGAGAAAACCACAAGTAAATCCAGATGGTTTTGGTGTTACTGGTGTCCATCCCATTTTATCAAGTTTGTATTAAAAAATCCTGTTAACAACAACAAAAATTCTAAGGGGAAAAAAACCTGCCCAAAAACCACAGACATTTTTCAGCAGACCACGACAAAGAATCACTACAACTCCTGTTCTTCAACAGCATTGTATAGTCTTATTTTTGTCTTATTCTTTTTTGTTTCCTCCCCTCTTTTCTTCCACAAGGTGATCTCTACAAGAAACACAACCCCCACACACCTCTTAGATTCCTTTTTTTCTGATTTGACACTTCTTATCTGAAGCCAAAACACAGGCTACTACACAGACTCCCACCACCACTAGTGCTGAAACCATAACACTTTGAGTGTTTAATTCTACAATTAAATGGGAGGAATAAACAACAGTGAGGCCAAGGCATTCTGTTGTCATTCCAAATTTTCCAGGAAAAAAAAAAAAATTAAAAACGCTAAACAAATTAATGGGTCACCAATGTTCACAGTTATGATTTGTTGGTTTGGGTTTTTTAAAACATTTCTGAAGTGTTTATTGTCAGGGTCCAGGCATCACAGCAGTACTCTGAAGAAGGGACAAGGTTCAGACAGCGTGCTAGTTTTCTGGTATGGTAGAAAAACACAGATGTGCATTTTAAATGCCACAGGGGAGTTAACCTGAGAGCCTGTCACTGCCGAATACCAGGAGAAACATCTCTCCTTTCGATGCAGATGATGATGACTTCTCAGCACAGGAAACCCAAAGCCTTGCCCTGCAAATCATTACCAAAAAAGAATTCCAAGAGGTGGAGAAACAACGAGGTATGGAGACTTTTGCCTTGCTGACGCCCACCCTTTCTCCCGCAAGCACACACCTGCGGGGACACTCTCCTCCTGTCCCGTCCCGTCCCGCCCCGAACGGGTGCATCAAAGTCCCTCACGGCTGTTGGACGACCCAGACCAGCCCCACGAGATGCCTCCAGCCCCTCCCCCCCAAGGCTGCCCCACGGAAGGAGGCGGCCCAGGTGCTGCCCCACAGGGTGGGACCCACGGGGCCGTGTCCCTGTCAATCCCCCTCGGCACCTGCGAGGCAGGTGGCAGCCAACCGAGCACCAGCTGGGACGCGTCCCACACTCGTGCCATCGCACGGCTCCACGGGAGCTCTCTGGGACACGGCCAGCCGCCTCGGGTGTCTCCCGTCGCGCAGCCGGTTTATTGCTGATCCCGCCCCAGCATCACCCCATCATCCAGCGAGACCCACCGGCAGGGCGCGGTCCACGACACCGAGGGACAGATAAGTTACCACGACCCCAGACTCCTCCAGAGCCCCACTCTCTCCTGTCCCTACCTTGTGCCTGCCCGCTCTCGCTGCCTCCGCCCGGGAGCGCGCAGGGACACCCACGGTGGCGGCTCCGACGGGAAAACCCCCTGACAATGTGACACACCCGGAGATCGCTCCGGCCGACGCTCGCACCGCCTATCGAAGCCACGAAGTTGTAAATAGACTTTGGCAGCCGCTGCCGCGCGGTGAGACCGACCGCTGCAGCACGGAGCCTCTCTCGGCTCCGCGGGCAGCACACCGCCGTCCCAACGCCCTCGCCCCCACCGTTCCCTCCCCGCGGGCGCAGCCGGGAGCCCAGCGGGTTCCTCCGCTCACAGTGCCGCCCGCAGCCGCACCGCGCCCGGCGGCTCCGCCGGCACCGCTCCCCGCGGGCGCCGCTCCCACCCGGCACCCGTCCCCCCTCGCCTTTGTCCCCCGGCAGCTCACCGGGACCGCGCCAGCCTCTCCTCCCGCTGCCGCAGGGGCCCTGAGACACCTCCTCGCCGCTGTCCTGTCAGCGGAGCGCCGCGGACTCACCGCGGTGTAGCCCCCGCCGCGGAGCTCCTCCGGCGTCTCCGGTGCAGCATCCAGCGCCCACCGAGGCAGCAGGGCAGACGGCGGGAGCACGCCGGAGCCCCCGAGGAGGACCGGCGGTGGGGCGGGGCCAGGGGGGGCGGCACACGGGGAGAGGAAGCTGCGGGGGCGGGCCGGGCCGGGACGGGACGGGCTGTGTGTGCCGGGGAAGCCGCGGTAGCCGGCGGACTGTGTGCGGTGATGAGGCGTTGCTGGCGGGGCTGCGAGGCGATTTTGGTTTTGGTGGATACTCAGTCCACCGTACTGGCAGCAATTAAGTTTGTGTAGGGGAAATTGCAATTAAGAGTCACCATAGCAAGTCACTGGAACTCGGTCCGGTTGGCTGTGCCGCAGCCAGGTTAACTGGTGATGCTGGCAGGGGGAGATGGCTCAAAGCGTAAAGAGGTGCAGTGTAAGAGTCGGGATCGGATCTAGGAACTCCGCGCCTGGAGTTTCGGGGGCTGAGAGCCACAGTGCTCGAGAGGGAGGTGCTGTGCTGCACGCATGACATAAGCCTTCTTGTTTCCCTCCCTCTTCTGTGTTATCATCTGCTTTTTAATGCAGTAATTTTCTGAAAGAAAGTGGACAATCTCAAGTTCTGTTGAGTTGCTCCCTCAAGAGTAGTTTGTTGCTCAATTTCCCCACATACCAAGTTCCCTGTGAGGATGCAGCAGGCATGGAAGGGGAGCAGGTGGAAAGGCTTTTGCGCAGTGTTGCACAACTCTGTAGGAAAAAAATTGAGATTTGCCCAGGAGGAGCCACAAGACTGAGCCTGACTTGCTGGTCTAGCATGGCCACCTGACAGGTTGATGTGAACAGGGAACCAGATCACCTGTACTGACCCCCAGGTTTTAATCTTGCATTTGAGGTCGGACACGAGACTGGCTAAAACTTCAGCCTTGCTGGCACAGATAATAAAGAGGACTGCTTACTTTTGCCTCTTCCCAGCTGGACTGTAAGAGTGAGGCTGCTCTCTGAGCAGAGGGAATATCTTATCCCACAACAATCTTCTGAGAGAAAATTTTGATGTCATTATCTGAGCAAATGGACAGGCACCTCATTTCAGGAATGGTTCCAGGGCTGTGGGTCCTAACTGAATAGAGGCAACTCCCAATGGCCGAGGTGAAGTCTTTCATGGCTTGTCCTTTGGTTAAGCCAAGGCTGATCTATGTAGTTCCCAACTGTTTCTATGCTATTCTGGGGTGCCTAATGTGTGTTTTCATGGGCAGCTGACTTGGCATGTCCATAGAAACATGTTACACTGTCTATTTTTATTCTTTACTATTTTCTGTTTCCTTCACTCCCTTTGCTCAAGGTTGTAGCACCTTCCTTAAGCCAGCACTGGAGCACTTCAGATTGCTAAACTGGTCAATCCCACTAAATGGACAGAAAATCACAGCTTTTTTTTTTCTTTTTTTTTTTTTTTTTTTTTTTTTTTTTTTTTTTTTTTTAATTTCCTGGAAGAGTGGCCTGCTGTGTTGGTGGATTAGGTTGTCTCATGGAGTGGTCCAGCCAGTGCTGGAGTCACCATCTTGCAATATCACCTACTCTTCCTCACTTATTTTCCAGCATGAATTTGCAGGATTGAGTGCAAGGGCACAGAATCTAGTGCCCAAGTGTAGGCTCTGTTGTTGAATCTATTCTTATTTAACCTGCCCTGTACCATGTATAAAGCCTGCAGCAGAGCCAGCACAGTCATCTGGTCACAGTAGGACTTTCTGTCAGCACAGTCATCTGATCATAGTAGGACTTTCTGTCGTACTCTGACAGCTAGTGGAGAACTTGAAATGTTAGCAAACAGCTCTGAACAGTTGCTGCATTCTTCTGCGTTTTGATCATTTGAAAAAGAAAATGTTACAGTAGCTTACAAACTCATGGCTCCAGTTTCTGTGAAATGGTGCTTTAGCTATCGCAGGAACCAAGCACTGTGTCTAGGCTGTTGAGACAGAGGTGTGCTCTGTGGCGCACCACCTTCACCTGCTCTTCTCATCATTTGCACTAGAATCCTTAGGGCTATTTCCTTCACACAGAACCTGAGTAGGAGAGTAAGAAAAGTGTGGGTTGTGTGCAGGTGATGTTCCCAATGTAGCTGTGATTTAGTAAAAGGGAATTTAGTACAGAATGTCAGGTACTATTACCTTAATTGGAAGTATAGTAATTTATTGCACCTAGCTGGTCTAGGATTGTGTGGCACCCTAGAGAAAACAAGCTGCATTTTGAGAAGCATCAGGACTGCAGGAAAACTGAGATATTGTCAGCCTGTTTGTTTTTGAAAGAGACATCAAAGTGTTGGACTCTGAAGATATCTGTGTTCCAAGGAAATACCACTGCAAGTTTCAAAGTATCAGCTCCAGCTCTCCTTCTTGCAGTGTTGATAAGCATTTTCATCCAGCTTGCTCTATAAAGTGGAACCTGGAGAGGGGGATTTATGGATTGGTTCTTAAAAGCTAGTGGCTTTTGTAAGCCAATGTCTTATGCAGAATCATGCTGGAGTCAGAGGGACCCCATGCAAAAATAAAAGTTTGCATAAGCAGGTGTCTTTACTCATTGTCTGCATTGCATGTAGGCAAAGAGATCTGCTAGTGCAAAAGGGAAAGCTGTTGTCTCCGTCTCTCTGGGTGCCTCCCAGTGAACCCCAGCCAGCCCCGGGTCAGCAAACAATGGGGGGGCAGCCCTGAAGTGACCGACAGTGGGGAGACACTCTCTGGTGCCCCGAGGGTACTGAGGGCAGCTAGGCTAGTCACCTTTGCAGCAGAAGAGACGCTGGAGACATCGGTAGAGGATAAAAGGCCGACTCTGAGTAGGGGGCCAGTCCAAGATTTATTTGGAGCTCCTCAGGGGGCCCCACACCTCAGTGGGCGCTGTGCTCAGAGTGAAACAAAGGAATCTCAAGGTTACATTTAAAGGGGTGGGGGGGGAAGAAACCGAGAGTAGATACATTTGCTGACCAATAAAGACCCTCCAGGGATGCAGCCTTAGGGACAGACATTTGGGATAGCGTATAACATCATCCTTGGGGGGCTGATCCCTGGCTTCGGGCAAATCACTCAACGGCTTTGACCAAAAGTTCTAGATAGAGGGAATGGGATGCTGAGTGACTGACAGAGAGCCAGGGCGGGGATTTGGGGGATGATCTCAACACAGGAGAATGGTTACACAGGTAGAGGAAGGGGGTACAAAAAGGGGGTACATCATCTGGGGAGAATAAGGGGATACAAAATCAAGACTATTACAAAGTATTACAAAGTATAAAAGCATACTACAACAAGCTGTGGCTCGCCTTCTCTGTCTCAGAAAAAGTATCCCTTTCCTTTTCTTATAATAATTATCATGGCGCATGTAGGAGATAATTTTGTTGCTACTATTTATTGTCTAGTTCACAAGCAGCACCTCACCATGGAGAGAAATGGGTTGCTTGTAGAGTTTAAAAACAAAAGGAGTTTTCACTAATGGGAGCTGAAGCTGGCTTCAAGCTGTTCAGGTCATGAGAGGATGACTCAGAAGTCAGAAATTTGAGGCATTCCTATGTCTAGCGTTTAATCAATAGGCATAGCATTGGGAAGTAAGTGAGGAAATCAATGGCAAATCAAAAGGGAATAGGTCAGCTATTCATTAGAGAAAACACTGATCTCAGGGATATTAGCAGAAAGGAGGGCATGAAATGAATCCTCAAGAAAAGTTTAAACTAACTGTGTCTGCAGCGAGCTGGCAGTCAGGGAGCCCTAAAAAAATTACTAGAATATCTTGCATGAAAGGCTATTCGCATAACTGCATTCTCAGAGTCAGATTTAATTAGCTGCGTACAGACACTTTCCAGCCATAATGCAGCTCTTGCAGGAACAATAATTGTGTATTTTTCATTGCTTATACAGTCATTATAGGTATTACACATGAAATTATAACAATCTGCTTTCTGTTAGCAAACATGCTGAAGCAAAATCATATTTGTTGATGTTCTCAGTGCATGTTACATCTTGATTTTGCTCGCTCTAACCTTATTCCTAGAAAATGGTCAATAGCTTCAGTGGGACTGTTCATCAAGCTATGGCTTTCATGATGAACGTGTTGCAAAATCAGGTTTAATTCTGAGCTCTGGGGTCGGGATTCTTTTGTATTTTATTTTTTACATATGAAATACCAAATTTATCTAAAAGAGCATGTAAACAGTAAAAATAAAGTTACAGTGTGGCTTCTCTGCTGGTACAGTATTGGTTACATTATTGATAATAATTAGTCATTATACCATATACACGCTATAGGTATAATTGGTGAGGTATAAGACACCAGTTTATATTAAATAAAAGTCAAATGTTGTTGTGCTGATCATTGACCACATTACTCTGCAAGTGAGGCCAAGGTACAGCTCTGGAGCCATAAACTGCTTGTGGGCACTTGAAGTTTGGCTCCTATGCCAGGGATGTGCCATATGACTGGGGAGGACATAGGAGATTTTATTTTATACCCTATTGTCTCTGGTGCCATATATGTCACTGTGTATTGCATCTTTCATCCCAGGGGGTCCTGATGTTCTTCTTCAATAAGTTTTTCATTTGACATTTCAACAGAGACCTTCAGGTAGTGAGGGAACAGCTGCATAATGTTGCTCCGTCAGCAACCTTTGAAAACCAGGTGGGTTATCTGGGTAGGGAGAATGGGTTCATAAATGAAATTTGGCCCTAGAGCACAAAGGTTGTAACTCTTACCCTTGGCAGAGTCTCTGTGGGACTGTATTTACTAAAATGGTCACAAGCCACATTTTATTCTAAAGAGAAATAGAATCTTTCAGTAACACAAAATCATTTCACCTCATTATAGGCTTATTGTTTTATTCTAACTCTGACCAAATTCCCAGGGCCCTTGATTTCAAGATTTCCTTACCCAAGCTCTAATCAAGCCCAAACTTGTGTTCATTACAGAGCCTTCTGAGATCCCAGCTGGTGGCGGCAGAGCCACCATGTGAGTTTGTCACGTTTTCTCTGACAGAATGCATTTGATGTATCTTTGCCTATACAGGTGCTCTGGCA